ACACTCGGCCTGAGCGGATGTGTTTGTACAAGGGGATCTGGGCTTGAACCTGCACAGGCTTCAGATTTTCAAGGCTGTTTGGGACTTGGTCGACCCAATTGGGGCTACAAGACGCTTCAGAACTTTGGTCGGTGATGGTCGGTGCTGATGGGCCTGGAATCATGCATTTTGATCAACAGGCAAGCGGTGGGGCCCCGCCAAGTACTAGCACCACTGCTTCTGAGATACTGCTGCTTCAACCATAAAGGATTCTGCTGTCATGCAGGTGAGGTCCAGCTTCACTTAACGTCCGGTTGGACTAATAGCTCCTCGAGATGCATGCATGAAACGGCAGAAGAGCAACGTCATGCAACGTCCGTTGCTGCGATGTTGCCCTCACGGGCCATGCTGAGCGTGGCGACCAAAGCCCACAAAAACCGAACAACGATCCAAATCAGCCCCAATTTGCGGCCTCGAGGTTGTACTGCGTTTCCGCAGTGTTCATGTCCATGCCGTCATTGAAGTCCTCCTGTCCAAGTTTCAAGATCATGCTTGGGGCCTGGGCCATGCGAACTGGCACCTACGGGACTACCTCGAAGACTTGTGGCTACAGAGCCCATCTTTACAACCTACACTAAACGACGCACGTACGGTTTCTCAGGCTTGAGGCATCTTAAGCCACAAGATGCCAAATCATGTCGGCAAACCCCGAGCCAGAGCAAACCGCGAAAGCCTGCAACTTTCTTCTCATCCATCTAAGTCTTCAAGAGCCTGAAGCCGAGACCCCTAACATGGCCGCATTGAGGCAAGGCTCCGAGAGAAAATGCGACCGCAGGCAACCCTGCCAGCCACAAGAGCATGGCCCAACATGGCCAAACGACTCGTACAAAACAAGACTGGAGGCGCATGCACTGCAGCCTATCAGACATGTTCGGATGCTGCAGGGATATGCTCTTGGGGCGAACACCCCTGAAATGGCTGTTTTCGTTTGATTCTGGCGTCATGCATCCAGAAGACGACGATACTCTCCCCAAGGCCTGTCGAAGGCCGCTCGCCCCGGAGACGCCGGTGGACAGGTGCGTCTGGCCGGCAAGTAGGCGCTAGCAGCCGGTAGCAGACAGAAGTAAAAAAAAATCTCCATAAACATGCGAGTACTGCTGGAATAAGAGTAAACGGCCACCCGGCCCAACCTTCTATGCCCGAGCCACGTTTCTCTCTCTCTCTCTCTCTCTGCCGCGCCATCCCCGCCCGTTTGCAAACCTGTCTTGCACTTCTGCCGATTCTGGCTGTTTTCGGGTTGGGGCGCGGCAACTCAACCAGAGATGTCATATACCCATACTATGTCGAAGTCTCTTCTCCAGGTGCGAATTCGACAACAATACCCACTTTGCGCCCCGGCCTGGGCAGGCCGAGACTGGCTCGACCAGCCCGAGGATAAGGTGCCCTTGGGATATAGCGTTTAGGGCTTCTGTCATTTGCTTAGGGACTCGCGCCAACGAAGCCAAACTGAAAGCTCGTTGTGTGTGTGCTGTACCGAGGCTACCGATGAAAGCTGAAACAAGTTGAAGCTTGACCCTACGACCTGTTGGGTGGACACCAGCTCAGCCACAACCTTTGAATAATGAGAATTCTGGGTATCCCCTGTAAGCCTGTAAGTCTAAGTGGGCAGCCATGCGAAACATCGAGCGTGGGCTCTTCTGTGGTGTGGGAGTCGCCAGCAGCGTCTGCTGGGCTCCACCTCTCATGTCAGAAGGTATGGAGAACACGGCGGGGGTTGGCATCAACCCTGACAAGCAAAATGAAAATGGGTGACGCGTGCATTCTATCCGAGCACATTCCAATCAAGAACAATCAAACTTGCACAGTTGGACATCAGTGAACATCATACACCTCAACACCCTTTCCCAGGGCGCACCGCTCTTCGGCGACAGCAAGGGCGGTCCCGCAAGGGAAGTGACGCTGCTGTAGCTGTTGCGGCTGGTGCGGCTGTAGTTAGTGGCGTAAGTGTCGTGGCTCATGGTGCCCAGCTCCTCGTCTCGCTTTGTCGAGTGCTGGCACCCCATGGCTGCTGTTCCCTTTTGAAACAGGCGGCCGAGTGCCCCTAAGCCTTCATGCTGGAGGGCACCAGCGCCTGGGAGCCCGAAGCACAGAGATACAGCTCGGAGCGCAACATCCGAAGCTGGTCAACATCTTGCCGAATAGGCACTAGGACATTATCGTCATGTGCTGCATGAGAGCTGTAAGAGCTCTTGCGGCTTGACTCAATTCGGCTCGTACTCCAAGCAACAACTGTTTACAAAAAAACACGCCGACAGGACACCCAAAAAAAATTCAGGAGGGGCTCTCGCACAAGCGAGCTTTCTCAAGGTGCGAAGATTTGACACATTGACACATGTAGGGCTTGGCATGGTCCCTCGTACTTCATAGATCTCTAAAGGAATTTGAAGCCTATTTTCGGACCACGCCTGGCTTCCTCAACTTTATGCTTCTCTGCTGCTACGGGCCCAACAGGTCACACAAACCGAACTGCTTGAATGCTGAATCACACAAGACAACCATCTTACCACGGCAAAAATCTGCAGCCGGGGATGGTTCTGAATCCTCCTTGTTGTCTGCTACAACTCGGCAGGCAAAAGCACAAAGTGGATAGGCACCTTGGCTGAAAGGCTTCGACATTTGCAAGACGAAGATTGAACGCTTCTCTCATGCCCAAGAACAATAACCTGCCGGTGGAACAACACATCCTCCACCTCTAAATCCGTGGCTCACAAAGCGCCAAAACTTCGGAGCAGACGAGACAAGCCCGGCAACACCTGTGCAACATCCTGGAACACTCCATTAATGCCTTAACATAGTTTACAGAAAGCTCAGGTGCAGGAAAGCCTAGTGCATGCCAGCGGCAGCATGTCAATCCTGATGCGAGGTGCAGACTCTGGAGCATCAACACAGCAACCCCACAAAAACAAACAAACAAAAAAATGCAAACCGCCAGACGCATCCCAGCGCCAAAAGTCTACTCCCATACCCCGGGTTCAGTGCCGCTACACTCAACTTGCTACGGGGCAGAGTCGCGACTCGTCCGCACTTTTGCCGAAAATCATCCTGGCCCCGAGGCCTGATTCTGACAAAACCGCTACAAGTACCAGCTCTGCGACACCTGTCTTCACCCGAAGCTCAGTTGTAACCCTAAGCCTAAGCCCTGAAACTCTACATTTCTTGTAGGTGGTTGCTTTTTGTTTCTCGGCTTCCTTGCCTCTATATTCACAGGCAAACTCATCTGTAGGTGCATTGCACCTTTTCAGGTTTAATACATTTCCTCTCGGCTTTGCTTCTTCCATGGGTTTGAAGATTTAGATAGAAGGAGTCCTCCTTGGTACCGACCCCAGGCCCCAGGCGTCGTTAATTGACAACAAGCAAGCCCCCCCACCCACCAATTTGCAAAACTCCTTTTGCTACCGGACGCTCCGCCCCAAAAACAGCGGCAAAACACGAAAAAAAACGCATAAAAGCAAGAAGCATAACAGCAGAAGGCAGAAAGGCATGGAACAAAGCAAAAAGGATCAAGCAAAAAGCACAGCAAAAAGCAACAAAACAAACCGAGCGAGAAGCAAGCAAAAACAAAGCCAACACAAAAAGCAAAAAGCAAGGACCCAATAAACCGCGCACAAAAAAACGTGAAAGCAGAACACTTTGGGAACAAACGAAAGGAAGCAAAAGCAAAATCACTGTCTTTCACCCTGGGGGAGCCGGTATAAACTCCATGCATAAGGGATGCCTTGCAATGACGGGCCGGAGAACCCTCAAGCACCGAGGCTTGCAGCCTTCTTGCCTTGGACGCTACTGGACTCATGCACACAACCCTTACTGATCCTTTCTCTCTCTCTTGGAATCCTACAGACCCTTGAATCGAAGACCCCAGCACACGCCCGTCAAGACCTGCGCAAAACTCCTGAGGCCACATGCAAGCACAGTGTCCGACCAACGCCAGGCCCATGGCCCGAAAGGACCAAGACGAGCGCCGGTACTCAGGGCCTTGGCTTGGCATGGCTTGGCGCGGCTCCAGGAAGCTGAATTCAAAGGCTTTCGCCTCTCTTTTTCCTTTTAGGGGGGCACCTGGGAGCGGCAGCAGCGCCAGCAAGGCCAAGGGCAGCTGAGCAAGGCTGCAACAACCTGATGGGCAGAGGCTCTTTTGATCTTTTGAGCGTCTCTCAGTCTCAAAGTGGGTACCAAAAGTGGATGGCAAACGGCGATTTGCAGGACAGGCGGCCAGGTGTTTGGAGCTTCTGCTTGGCGTCTCTTTGAGTGCGGTAGCTGTTCGGCATGTGGCCGCACTTTCCCTCTCACTGATCGCAACCAAAAGGGGCACCCATCAATCTTAATCCCCCTCGCTTCACACACCCCATCCCCTGCAGCAGGATTGCAATAAAGCAACAGCCGCTTGCGCAATCCCAAGCTGGCCCCCAAAACCTTTGCAGCAACACTCTCTCTCCTCCAAGGCACAGCAGAGCTGTGCCGAGCGGCGGGCTGACAGCTGTAGGGAAGCCATGGGGAAGACCAAACAGGAGAAATGACAGGGACTGCTCAATGCTGACAGTGCTAACACTCAGACTGCCAAGCTGCCGAAGTCGGGTTTCGGATGGCTTCAAGTCGAAAATGCAAACGAGCCGAGCCAGCTTCGGGAGTTTCAGCAGGGTGTTTTGCGTTGGTTGGGGTTGGGAACGTTCGGGTTTAGCACGAGGCCGTGCTTCTAGTGCTCAGCGCCTGCTCTTTGGGATTTCGAGTTGCTTCGGCCTGGCTCTGGCAGCCTTGGTTGGGAATTCCTTAAGGCTTCGGGGCGACGACATCTCTCGTTACAGAAGAAGTTCCGTTCGATGTTGGCGGGAATAGCCTGCAGCGGCCCGGCACACGGTGCATTGCATTGCCCTCACCACTCGCCACTATCATTCACTCCTCTTTGCCGTCACAAACCTTCACAACCTCAAGGGCCTCAAGAGGAAGCCCCGACTTGCTGCAGAGGTTGCTGTACTTGCTGCACACCCCCGTGGACACCAGGCACTCCAGAACCTTGGTTCACACAGGAGCCGGAACCATCAGAACCATAGAGGAACCATCCTCCCCAAAAGAGGGGGCGGCATCCCCGGCCCCCTCTTCTGATGGAGGAACTTCTGGGCGCTACCTGACCTGTCCGATCACGGGGGAAAGCTGGCAAACAGACCAGGAAGAAAGGAGGGAAGGAATCGACCGCTCAGGGGGCCTCCGCAAGCGAAGAGTGCTAGGTCAAGTGGACACAGCGTTGCTTACGACTCACGATGATTTTGTATCGTCTGCTACTCTCCCGATGTTCGGGATATTTGGTGTCGTGAAACATGCAGACAGTCTCCCAGCTGTAAAAGCACGATAGATACAGATAGAAGCTTTGGAGCATGTGTCAACTGTGAATATTGGCCACCCTTCAAAGCTGTCCTGAGCGCGCTCTTCGCGCTGCTTCGAAGATCACATGCAGGGCGCGGCTTCCACATTTTGGGGGGAATAAACACAAGAACGCCAAACAGTCCTCACAGGCTCATTTCCTCAGAGGCCCATTTTCAGGATTTGGACAAGCTGAAACCAACACATACGCACGTTTTGTCCGGGACTGCGCTTGCAGACCCTTCGATTGCATCGCCCCTCGCACCCTGCAATTCTGCTGTGAAACTGCTGTGATCCTCCCTCACTTGGTTAGACTCGTACCTGCGCGGGAGGGGAGGATGTTCAAAGGAGTGCGACAAGCCGAAATGGTCCGCCTTGATGACGCACACCGCTCACATCATCAAACAGCACCTTCCAGGTCGACCACACAACAAAAGGGAGAAGGCCGAGCAGATCCACTGCCAAGTTCACATTCCCAGTGCCAGTCCAGAGCTGAAAACATCCGAGATGGAATGCTGGCACTGGCGTGCTATCGACCCCAACCATCCAAAAAACAATCCACACATACACGACGAGCCGTCCTTCAAGCACTCCGGGAAGGACCTCCCAAGAGCCCCCCAAGACCCCCAAGAGCGTCCCCAGACCCGCGAGCGAAGGCAGCCTCGCTGCGTGCGCCCACTCGGAATGAATCGACGAAGCCCGTAAATGCCGCCAAAGCAGCGCCAAACACTTTCAACTCGAAAAAAACGAAAACTCATTAGGCTCATTTTTGAACACAATGATGTCAACAGGGACGGAGGCAACAGTGGGGCTTCGAGGTCGTCACACCACGTCTTCGGATGTATGTGCCTCGCCCACGATTTGATGTCCACCATCTCAGTTTGCAAGCATTGCTGGACTTATGTGCTCGCCTGGCATATCCGCACCCACGCGCGCGTTTGATTGCTTAGCGCATCTGGTCTCCACAGTTTTTGAAACTGCTGCTGCGGCTTACTGGTGCATCTACAATCTCGCATGGTGCCGTTGCATCTAAGACTGGGAGATGAATACCTCCCCATGAGTCTGGCTAATTGAGACGTCTGTGTTGTCGAAAGCCCCAGTGCTGATTTTGCTTGTTACCGCACCTGGGTGCGTCTACAAACTACCCTCATCACTTTGCTTTGAAGCGCTTCGAAGAAGCGTAGAAGCAAGTGTTTTGACAAGGTTTTGCGGCTATCCGGCTGGAACTCTGGCGTGGCAATCTTCGAGCGAAAGCTTGCAGCGAGCTCGGACTCGCAGGGCCGGCCTAGGCGCATGGGTGCGCTCCACGCTTTCGTGGAAGGATCGAAGCACTCGAAGGTTTCCAACGGCACCTGCGACAAAAAGGGTTCGAAAGCCCGGCCACACAAGCCAGAGCCCAATGCTGCCGTGCCTTGCCATCGATACCCCCTGCGACATACAGCTTCCCATTCAGCACGAAAGACGTGTGTGCAATCCGTGGGAAGGCCATGGGTGGAAGCTCCTGGCAGAAACCGAGCTGCCCTGAAAAGCAAAACTTGGGGGTGAGGGCCTGGGACGAAAGCTAGTTAAGGTACCCCCATGGAAGAGCTTGCGTCAACATGGCATCAACTACGCAGAAGGACAAGCACACGCAAAGGCAGCAGGTTGTGTCACCTTTTTTCTGGCGCAGGTGCCAATATTGACGTGGCATTCCTTCTGGCAATGTGTTGGTGTGTTGCTTTGCTCTGCGGTGTTTAAGCATCTTCTGGAGGGCTCTTTTTTGAAACGCATGACACCACAACTGATGTTGCACTCACCAGGGGAACCTGTCCAATCCAGCTTTGAGGGACACCGGACTCAAGTCAACATCAAGGCTTCTGAGTCTTTTCTTTGGGGGCTTTTCTGTTAGCATCTTCCGGAGGGCTCTTTTTTGAAGCGCATGACACCACAACAGATGTTGCACTCACCAGGCGAAGTCTGAAGTCTGTCCAATCCAGCTTTGAGGGACGCCAGACTCAAATCAACATCAAGGCTTCTGAGTCTTTTCTTGGGGGACTTGGGGGGCTTTTCTAGGGCCTGGGATCCACAGAAAACGGCGTTCATTTGCACCCAATATACGAAAGAAATGAACGCCAGCCCGTTTCCCCAAAACCTGTGTTCGCCACCCGGAAACCGACCGGGTTTGCTGCGTTTCGTGGCGGAGCCTCCGGGGGCCCTGTATACCCATCAGGTTGTAAGCTTCGCTTAAGCAAGATACTCCGCTAGCTCCTCAGGGGCTAGCTTTCGTGATAAAGCAAATCTTTCATCACAAACGACGCTCCTGCCAGGTCTGCCCTTTGATGTCGAAGACCTGACGATCACACAAGGTGAGGAAGACGCGAATCTTGCGAAACACTGTCCATTGCCCCAAGCAAGCGATCGGCTCTGCACACCGTAACATAGTCTGGCCTCCCCTGAACGGAGCACCGTTTCGCCATCAGAACCACCAGTGACCTTTGCTGCCCCTGCAAGCGAAAGAAGCACACAGAGATCGCTCCCTCACATGCGAATTGAAGAAAGTTATTTGTTTCATGTAACGCGAACGAAAGTTCCTCAGAACACAAGCCAAAACAGCATCCAAGCCACGTAGATGAAGTCCGCGCCATTCTCGTCCTGCTAGGGCGATCATGGAGATCCAACTGATCCAACCCAGTACATTCGAAGGTGTTAATCATGAGCGGGTTAAGACGACAAAGGGCCGGAACTCAGGGAACCCATGGTGCATTGAGCTCAGGGCTGCAAGCCGCAAATGTGAAGGCATTATAAGGCATTGAGTCCCTCATCGCCTAGACTAAAACAACACCACGAAGCCACAAAACACACTAATCCCTGGCTCTGCCCAATTGGCCTGAAGAAGGCTGGCTCCCGCCCCAATCCGGCCCGTAGACATCGGAGGCACCTCAAGCCACCTGGGCAACATCCCACCATCCTACACACTGCCCCATCCGATCCGCGGCGGGGTCTCTGTATGATGCTTACTTGGGAAAGGCGCTTCTAGATTCGGATGTTTCCCGCCCCAGCCATCCTCGCCCTCCTAGCGCGCCGAACCATGTTCACATGGCGGCTGGTCAGAACCTCCTTTGCATCCTGTATCAAAAACACCTTGCATTCCTCAGAGCACCCAACATGCCCCAACAAGATCCACTGGCCCCCCGTATCTGAACCAAGCGACCGCTCACAGTAGAGCTCGAAGGCCTTCAAAGAGTCCAGGACATCTCTTTGAGTTGGCTTCGGAGTTACGAGCAGGTCCGAGCCTTCGATCCTCCTCACCAACTGTACCGACCCGCTACCGAGGCCAAGATAGAGACTTGGGGAGCTGCATGGCAAGCTCTGGACTCATGAGTTGCCTTCCGAACCCATGCCCTACCCGAATGCCCCTCAACTCCCTAAACCCGTTTTCTGTGGCACATGACAGGTCGGAGGCCGGCGTGAACAGAAAAGAGCACGAAGCTGTCAGCCCCGACATGCTTGGCCCAAGAAGCCCTAAACTCAGTGTAGGGCTCTTTTTTTAATTACTTCCGTAAGCGCCTAAAATCCACAGGCCTCGACGGAGCTGTGAGCACGAGGGCGCTCGGATTTCTTCACCTGCCGCTCCTGACCTGTTGGAGAGCTAGGTTCGGCAAGCGCTTTGCAGAAGAGGAGTGAGACAGGTCTGAGGAAGGCCGGGCCTGGCAACCTTTTTTTGACACAACAACTTGACCCGCGACTTCTACCTCCAAGCTCCAACCCCCAAACCAAGAAAGACCTCTTTTGTCCTGTTCTCTCGCCATCCCAAACAAATGTCCGAGAGCAGGTGCGCCTCCAATGGCATAGATGCAGCCTTGGGCAGCCACCTAGGCTGCACCAACGCAGCTGGCAGGCATCAGCAACATAGTGCTAGTGCTCGAGTCCATGTCCTACAGGCCGGTGCCCTGTTAGCATCAACTCCCAGAACGACTCGGGCAACGCGCGGTCTAAAGTCTGAACAAATCTCAGTGCTGTGGAGCCGCCATGCTGTGATAAGATCTGGGGACCGTCATGGGATCGATGTGCGAGCTCCAGCTGTTGCTCCTTGCAAGGGTGCCATGCGAAAAAGTTGGGCAACGGTCTGGTGAAGTCATGTCACTAGGTTTCGTTTCGGCGCGCGAAGCCCAGCTGACGTGCAGGCAATCCCATGCCACACGGGGCCCTTGACACCCGGCCTCGGGTCATACATCTCAGCCGCGGCCAGGTCCCGGATGCCGTCAAAGCCCCCAGCCACGTAGATGCGACCATCTGCCACTGCGGCAGCATGCATTGTCCGCCTGCAAGCGAGGACATCGAAGAGATGCTTGGGCTGCTCAGGGCGAAATGAGATGCTCCAAGGATGCTTAAGGTGTGTCGACCCCTTGACAAAAGCGAAGCTTGTAGAAGCTCCGCTGTCTCGCAACCCAGGCGCTTGATGTTCATAGGCGGCTTTGTGAACCACTGGTCCCACTGTCCGACCTGCGCACAGAGCTTGGACGGAACAGTGGCCGTCGCAGCACGGTTTCCCAACCTTGGGGTCGAAGACCTCAAAGGTGTTCAAGGTCCGGCCATCAGCGCTCCCTGGAGGGGTTAGGCCGGTTAGGCCCGAGGCGCTCGATCACACTCAAACACCAGAGTTTGCATCATTATGGATACTCGGTGCCCGGGTCGGGCTTCGGGCCGGCCTCCAATAATGAAGATCTTACCGTCGAGCTCCGACGCGGAGGCGTAGGTCCGTCTGGCCAACATGGGCGGCAGCTCCTGCCAATTGCAAGAGAGGGAAAGGGCCAAGACACCCAAGACGCCCCCGTAAGAAGTTTGTTCAACATCCGCAAGGGACATGTCCAAGTTGTCCATCCATTCCCTGCATTTCTCTCTGCAATCCATCAAGGGAGGCTGGCCCTCTGAAGTGCCTTCCATTCGCCCCGGTCTTCGGGGTCATCGGAGGGGCGAAAGGACTCCGCCAGCTTCAGCCTCAAACGAGTACAACGGGAACACTCAACTCTCACACTGATGGACGGCAACGTTGAAGCCAACTATCTCTTGGACCACCTCAGCATCTTTCTAGCATATTCTTTTCTTCTTTCGGTTATGATCAGATGGTTTGGCATGCAAAAAAAACTCGAACAGTAGATGCTGGGTCGATCAGCCTTTCATAGCTGCTCGCATTCGTGCTACATCCATGACACTCAACAGCGACGAGGCCTCAGTGTGTACACGCGAGGCTTGGACTTGGTCCATTTTGAAGGCCAAGCCAACCCTTCCAACGACACCACGGCCCAACGTGCGGCCCCCGACTCCTCCCCCCCTCGCTCCGCGAAGCAAAGCAAATAAGTAAGTTGAGCCGTTCAAGTCACCTGCCACATGACCATGAAAATCCAGGAAAACAACGTGTGAAGCGAGCGAACACTGCATATCGTTTTGGTTTCATCTTTTCGCTGTCTTCTTCGCATGTTAAACAAAGGAAACTCAGGCAAGCTATCAAAAACACAAAGAAAACAAGCCTTCTGTCTCATCTTTCTTCTTGCTCAATAGACTTCTTGTGTCATGCATATCTTGAATTAAACAAAAAGAACAAAAAAGAAAACGAGGAATCCAGTCAAACGAGTCTGTGGCGAGCTTCGCTCCCCAGTTTACTCTTCACAAGAGCTACAGCCTTTATTTAAGTTCTTCTGGTCCTTTGGCTCTGCGACAAAAGAGCTCCTATTTGCACGCTGGCTACTTATGTTTTGCTTGGAGATAAAGGAAAAAACATAACAACAAAGGAAGTTGCCTCAGCCGAAAAAATGAACAAAACAATTAATCTGGTGCATCTGGAGTGTTACAAGCTATGACCATTTGCTCTGAGCGAGGGAAGGCATGGCGGATGAGATGAAGAGAAAGAAAGAGAGAGAGAGAGAGAGAGAGAGAGAGAGAGACAGAATGAGTGAGAGTGACAGTGAGAGTGAGAGTGAGGGTGAGGGTGAGGGCGAGGGTGAGGGTGAGGGTGAGGAGTGAAAGTGAGAGTGAGAGGCAAAAGAAATACATAGGCATATATACATAAATAAACAGAGAGAGAGATAGAGAGAGAGAGAGAAAGAAAAAAGATAGAAATAAGAAAATGGAAGAACACAACCCTCTATTGCGGGAGTTTCACTGAATATTTCGCCATCTCTGCTACATCTGTTTCCCTAATCAAATGTAAGCAAAGTTTGCTTCGTGTTGGCTTTCAATGGCGAGCAAGATGAACGGAAGCAATGACGGGCACATCTTCTCGCAGCCCGGTAGCGGCATCTCGCCATCATGGCCCCCGAACAGGTATGCCTGCGTTTCAACTAAAAACACACTATTGCTTCGAATTCCTGCACAATTGGCCGGGCATAATGAGTTTTTTGAACTGCCTCCCCGTCCAGGACACTGCTAGCAATGCCCCCACGGCCCAACACGTCCGAGATCAGCCGCTTGGCCAATGCCATGGCAAGGATAAGATGATGCGACTGTCAAGCTTCTGGCAGCCCTTGGGCCCTTGGGTCGTGTTTGAACGGAGCATGTGCTGTTGCCGCTTTTGAGCTGGTGTCTCAGGGCGCATGTCTTCTGAATCTCTCGAGCAACTGTACTAGCACAAGCCAATGGCGAGTTGACGGTCGGCCCTCCCCCATGCAGTTGACTTCACGTCGCAGGCGACGTCTTGGTAGATCCCGCAACGTCATGTCACAGATATCCCTGGGGCAACCCTTGCAAAGTGAACCTGCAGCTCTGACTGCGGTGGAGGCGCGATGAGCGGTTGCCATCAAAGGCCAAGGCCACCTGGACTCGACAGCGAAGCTGCTCGGAAGATCCACAAGTACGTCATCCATAACGAAACTGCAGCCCGGCAGCTGTGCGTCCGGTCTCGGACTCTTCGGAGACCCCATACACCTCGCCTTTCCAGCGGCCTGCTGCCAGGATGCAAGGTACAGACAGCTTAGGCCGAACCGATGGCGTCATCATGCGTCACTACTTGTAAATTCAGACTCGCCTCCTTGGCACTCTGCGTTGTCGTAGAAGGCGGCTTCGAAAACTCTCCAAGCACCTACCGGCGGGGTCTGGCCTCACCGGCCATAACTAGTGTGGCCGGCAAAAGAGGAAACTGCTGCCAGCCTGGCAGGTAGTCCGCATTCAGCAAGCGGTAGGCCGTCCGCGCACCTTTCCACATGACCCCTAGCAAAAATCACCAAGAGTGACCTGGGCAAGAGGATTGTAACTCACACAACACACGCACCTTGTGGCGCGGAATGGCAGCTGGCGGCGTCGGCGCTCAGAACGCCAAGAGAGCATCTGCACAGTAAAACAAAAGATGGGACTCCTTTCAAAAGTTTCCGGCCGGTGAGACCCTGCATCACCTTGAGTGATCGCATACTCAGTGTGTCGAGACGAAACAAGGCATCAAGGGTTTAGTCACGTTTCGTCATGGAGCCTGGTGTACTCCAAACTCCTGCCGTATGTTGGTTCTGAAAAATTATCTTATTGAGACATTCCCTGGCTCCGACCAAGGATAGGAATCCGCATGCTGGTGTGCTTCCCGGCCTGAGATTGACGTAGCCCTTCAGTCCTTCTTTGAGAGTCCTCCACGTGCAGACCATTGTAAAACCCTAAAAGTCTATGAGAAGTCCTGTAAGCAAGAGTCTAAAACCACACCAGTCCCTCTGCAACGGTGCATTCAAACGAAGCCCGATAATTGCCGGCAGCTACTTTGTGGAAGCTGGTCGTTCGCATAAAGCCAGGAACACCCTACAAGAGAAGCCATGTCTGCCTGCATGGCACAAAGCTTTCTTTGCCGTGTGCCAGGCCTGCCATGGAGGTATCCGCTGCAAATCATGCAACCACTGTGCAACCAAAGACAGAAAGCCGCTCTACCTACTGCTAAGGCGCGGTGACTCAAATGAACCACCGAATCTAGATGAAGCAACCTGGCACTTCCACAGCCTCACCTGTGGTGATCTCGGCTGGTAGGAGTTCCGCACTGTCTCCGATCCTAGTCATTGGCCAGCCCTTCACCCCCAACACTTCTGCACATCCTTCTCGCACTGGCCGCGGCCGATGACACGCTACAAACGCACCCTTGCGCTCGTGCGGACAAGAGTCCAAGAGTCTGCCCTCTGTGTCTAAGGTGGCGGAAACCAGAAACACTCTAAGCATGTGAAAACATGTGAGGGCGTGGACCGCACTTTGCATTTGTGTGTACGCATCCACAAACCCGGCCTTGCAGCGGCACGCTGGCCTGCCGGGCAGCCTTTTGCCTGCACCATCAGCATCCATCAGCAATCTAGTGCTAGAGCATGTTTCACGTGAAGAGCCCTCTCCCTAACTTGCCCACTTCAAGACCTGACAACAAAGAAGGAACCATGCTGGTGTGCTGATCATTCAGGCAAGGTGCAGCACTTTCTGTGCTCAGGCTCAGGTGTTACGGCAGCCGCCAAACCCGAGGTACAAACTACGCACTCCAAACCCAACCCGGAGCACAAGAGGCACATTCACAGCAGCAAGCTACCAGGATGCAGCCTGGCACCGGATCGTCGACAATGGCTGGACACCGAAGCAGGAAACACGCAGAAAGCCCTCCTTGGGCGGGAATCTCGCGTTTTCCGCCGAGACCATAGCTCGTAACGTTTGCTCAAGATTGAAAAGCGTGCATTGAGAGACGTCCGACCTTCAACGTGAACCCTTCTGTCACACCCACAGGTGGCCCACGATCAATCTCTGTCATCGTGATGCAACTTCAGAGTAAGATGATTAAACACCACATGCAAGACCACAGTGCAGCCAAGACTCGAATCCAGATCGGAGTGATTCACAAGGCCTCGTTCAAAGCAGTAACTAGTACAGTAGCTGGCTATGTGACACGCAACCCAATGATCCTCGAATACCCCCTGCGTACGGCATGCAGTTGCATCTTTGCATCATGGGAAAAAACCAGGGATGCCATCAGCAAGGGCCTCTCGAAGCTGTCGCCTTCCAACAGTCCAGGCACGGCTACATGCACCTGGGCGCGCTCAACGGCAGCAAGGGACGCCAAGTCACTAAGTGTTCCTGCCCCACTTTCCCCCCATTTGGCCCACTTGCTCCGCTTGCCAGTGAACGCTTTCGTTGGCCGGGCTTGATCCGAGAACCCAAGACCCCTCAACAAACCCAAGGCTAAGCTCTAACCCTAAACCTCGCATGAACCCGTGGGTCAGTGGGTCAGTGGGGTCAGTGGGGGCAGTGGGGGCAGTGGGGCAAAAGGAGACAAGCGGGGCAAACCCGGCATGCTGAAAGCGCCGCCCTCGACCACTTAAGGTTCTGGACTGCAGCGATTTTGGAAGAAGGTCCAAATCCAGCAGAAAAATTGGGAGATTGCACGTACCCGCACTTCCGCGGGGAAGGGGGGAGAGGAAGAGGGGAGACAAGAGAGAAGTCAGCATTGGGAAGTACAAGTGGGGGGCGTGTTATGGCCAATTCGTCAACATGGCTTCACATGGCACTGGAAAGCGGGCAACCAAAGCCAGACATGCCTAAGCCCCCTCAGCATCGAGCATACCGAGGGCAGGGCTGTCAGACCTCCAACAACCGCAGATACTTCAGTGGCTGGGCAATCTGCTTCCACCTCGGCCAAGCACATTTTAGTCCAATCTGCCACTTCGAGCAAGAAGAACGGCAGACGGCCTCAAACATTAGTCATGGTCTGCTTTCGTTTGCCTATGCGTTCATGTTGCTGCCTACGTTGGTTTTGGAGCAGCCGAATCTACAAAGTGGTGCACATTTGTGGAACTCATGGCGTCCCAGCTGATGCGACGGCGACTGCCACTGCCACAAATGCGGCGAGACGCCGCCTCTTCCAAAGCACAATGAGCGCAAAGCAGAAAATCTACACATACACCTACACATGCACCCATACCCATACCTACACCTACACCAGTGCACCTATACTTATACCTCTACACTATTACCCTTTTGTTCTAATACCAAAACCGCTACACATACATACACGTATACATACACATATACATATACATATACATATACATGTACATGTACATGTACATGTACATGTACATTTACATGTACATGACATATACATATACATATACATATACATATGCATATGCATATGCATATGCATACTTATACACCTACACATACCTGTGCCAGAGAGAAAGAGAGAAAGAGAGAGAGAGTTTTTTTTTACATGTGCATAAATGCTCGATCCCCCCCCCCCCCCCCCCGATCCACACATTCGGCCTCGGGAAGGAAAGGGGGGGGGGGGGGGGGGGGGGGGGGGGGGGGGGGGAGGGCCAAAACTCCAGACTCCAGACTTCCAAACTGGATCTGGTCAAGCGCCTTGGCGCAAACCCTAAACCATACCAATCCTAAACTCTAAAATCCAAACCCCAAGCATCTGACTCCCCGACGGGTTGTGGTTTCATGAAATTCCCGATTTGCTGTTTAGGATTTATTTGGGGTCTTTTTGGCACCCGGCTAGCCATAGTGTTTAGGGTTTCGTGTGTAGGGTTTATGTTTAATGTTTCGTGTTTAGGGTGTAGTGTTTAAGTGTTTACATTTAGTGTTTAGGGTTTAGTGGTTAAGTGTTTAGGGTTTAATGTTCAGTGTTTGGGGTTTTGTGCTAAGGGCTTGGCGTTAGATTTTTAGGGTTAGTGTTTAGAAATTCGTGCTTAGTGTTTAGCGTTTAGTGTTAAGGGTTTCGGGTTTGATTTTTCGGGTTTAGGTTTCAGGTTAAGGGGCTTGGATAATATCTATCAAACACCTCTGGTTTACGTTGCTTTCTGAGCTGACTTATTGATGTTTTCAAAAAAAACAACGTAATAGGGTTTAGTGTTTAGGGTTCAGGGTTTGGTGTTGGTGTTTAGGGTTTAGTGTTTAGGTATTGGTTTAGGATGCATTTTTAGGGTTTAGGGTTCAGTGACTTGGATAATACCTTTTTTCTAAACCTTATAATGCCGAAGTTCTAAAACCCCCAAAACACTGAAACCCCGACGGGTTTTTGGTTTGGGGTTTAGGATGTAGTGTTTGATGATTGAAAGATAATAAAGTGAGGGAAATGCAGAGAATTATAATATTAGTACTGCTTTCTTACTAGTTTCATTCTATTCACTCATTCTCTTATATTTTAACAGGTTTATGAAGAGAAGGTAGAAAGAATGCATGGTTTTTATTGTAATAATTTGTAAAGAAAATACAAGTGCATTAAATGCTGTAATTTTATTAATAATATTTTCGTACTTGTTTCTTTCACTTATTTTATTCACTTTATATTAGCAATTTCATGTAATCTTTCACTTCGTTCTCTACGTCTTAATAATAATACTAAAAGAGAACTCACTTTGTAACCAACCTTTCGATCACCCGGGATTCAAAGTGCTTCAGATGTACACGGGCATGAGATTGAAGACCGCAGGAAAGGGCACAAAGCACGTCCTAAAGTAACAGCTCCAACGCACACGGCTAGCAGCAAACCGGCCTGCGGGAACTCATTCCATGGCGTCTGCTCACGATGTGCTGGAGCATAACGCAACAACGTGGCATGAAGCAATTGAATCGCCAGGGGCCAGGGGCCATGGGAAACTGATGCCTCAAAGCATGCAACCCTCAGTTACCCTTGCTGGCTCTTGCCAATGCAAAGCGCAGACCTTGTGGGGATGTTGCCGCATGGTATTCTGCGCATTCTTTTCGTCCAACTCTGTTAACGAATCTCTTTGCTGGCATGGAACCGAGGCTTGTGTTCTGATACTTCCTCTACGGGATTTGCGTGGCTTTGGAACTGGCATGACCGGCTTTTACAGGTCATGCAGTTGCGCAATGGCACGGAGGTGGGGATGTCAATGTGTCACAATATGTTTTGCCAGTTCGTACTCATTTCAGAACATCCGTCACGTGACCTCCGCAACATTTCAACATTGCTTCTGCCAGGTTGGCACCGCGACTTCGCGGCGTCGGCACGGCGCCACACACCAAGTTTATTCAATTCAATGTTCGCGTGGAGCTCCATGCGCGATGTCCTCAGATGTTTTGAACAGAAAGCAATGGGCAATGAACCAAGCCATGAATCAGTGAGAGCAACACATCCAGCTCTTCAGATCTCTTCACACTCAAGAAAAAGGTATGCTGACCAGAATCTTCTTTGAGCATCTTTGCTTTCCTCAATAGGACATGCTGAACAGCAAACTGGACATGAACACCCCTGACATTTTATGACACGGGCAAATGACATGGAAAAGACAGAAAAAATGCTCGTTGCACATCAAAAAGCTGTGCCAGCATCCAGCCATTCTGCACTTCCAGGTAAGCCGCAGTAATGGCAAAGGAACTTGTCCTTGGCTAGCTACATCGTTGCTGCTCGGAAACCTGTTCCAGAAGCAAGCCCACGTATTGGCCGAGCAACAGAAACGTCAAAGGGGTGGACAACATCGAAAAAAACCTTGCTTCTTGGGCCGTGAGAGAATGGTCCTGGAGGGAAGCACGACCACACTACCTACATGACGTGACAACTCTGGCAGCTTGCCTTCTTGAGGGCCTTCTTCATGGCAAGCGCATCTTCGTTTGCATGCTGTGCATGGTGAGCGGCCTGCTCACATACACTGTGTGCAACAAATGGAGTTCCAAGACTTACTCACACCGCCACAATCTTGCTCTGCACCCCCCTTCCTCTTCCACCGTGTAATTGAAAGAAGTGCGAGGTGCGCACAAAAAGTCGCTGGACTTCACCCGTGGCGTTATGGTTCTTTCATCCTGCACGGCAAGTGACCGCTCCTTCTCCTATGGTGCTTCATCAAATATTGCATCAAGCCACAGTCCTGGAGTCTTCTAGAACGCGTTACGCAACACCGCTTCCGGCGCACAATTTTTTTTCGACGCACAATTCGCGGCCCACAATAAACTGCCTAGCAGATTTGTTTGCCCCTCGTCACAGGCACCGTTAAGGCCCACACCGCAATCGCCGCCAATCTGGGCTTTTTTTTTTTTTCTCTCGCACCTTTTTCTGCTGGTCAAGGCGGTCCCAGTGCAGCGCAACAGCAAGGCTCGCAAGCCTTCACGGGAGGCGGCTGGCAATGGGGGGAGGGATGGCGGAGTCGGCGAGGACCTCGCTCAGGAGCCGGGGGGCCCCCATCAACGTTGGCAGTGCCACCGAGCGGGAGCGACAGAAGACTGGCAGCGAAATCCGCGCAGCGGCGAAGGAGATGAGGGACGACCAACGCAGCGTGAAGGCAGAGGTGGCTGCGGCCCGGCAGGTGGCAGGGACGGCCCGCGCCCGGCAGCGAGCAAGCAAGCGGACGAAGTTAGCGGCCTCACTGCTCCCGCCGCCCGGGGTCGCCGATTTGGGTACGCCTCCCCAGGAGCGTGGCTTCATGGCTTTGGGCACCCCCCATCGGCGCCGGAATACGTCCGCACTTGGGGCGTGGAAAACTATGAAAAACTCGAAGTTGAAGACGCGTTGCTCCGCCAGCTCCCCCTGCTGCCTGACCTCCAGTGCGCGTGGCTCCTCCTCAGCTTTTGCGCAGCGCCGCGGGCGAACCACGCGCTGAGGATGGTTCCGCCCGACCTCATCGCACCGTACGCAGCGGCAGGCGACGCGGTCATATGGGGTACATTGCAGGCGTGTCTGGGTTCGCCCGCGGAGGACGAGGCATGCCCAGCCAAGGAAATAGCCCCGCCGCGTATTGGGCCGCGTGGGCAGATGCCCTCACAGTGCTCCGCGAGCGCTGTCCCGCTTTTGCACAGTGTGCCGCCCGCTGCTTAACTGATGGGCACGGGCCTCCGTGCCTGCAGGCGGCCTCGGAGGCACGCAGCCTGCTAGAGGCGGAAAGGTGGGCAAACGTGCCCTCGTGGGAGCTCGTCGTCCAAGGAGCCGGCCCACCCGACCGACAGGAAGGGACCGCCGAGCACATGCCGCTGCCTGGCTGAAAGCCATCCCAAGCGACCCATGCGACCCCCCACACCACCCTGAACCCCGAGGCAATGCAGATCGCGTTGGGTCGGAGGCTCAGACTCCCGCTCCAGCTCGCCCCGTGCCGGTATGGCAATCCGAGAGCCGCTGAGCCCGGCTGCAGGCGCCGTATGGATGTATTTGGCGACCACGAGCTCGCGTGCCCCCGGACTAGCCTCCTTGCCAAACGGGCCAAGCTCGTGGAGCAAGCATGATGCAGGGCAGCCCGCGAAGCCGTCGGCCTGGAGGGTCATGTGGTGCCCCAGCAGTGGCTCGTCCACACCACCGCGCCGGGGGTAGAGATACGGGGCCACGCCGCTGGGTGGAGCCCTTTGCTGCGACGCGACCCTCGTTTCGCCTTTGAACCGGGACGCGCCACCTACCCCGAACTGGCGGCCGGTGGCGCGCGAAGCCTACGCGTCCTCGGTTGCGAGGTGGGAGGGCGGTGGCACGAGGATGCGGTGAAGCTGGTTCGGCGCCTGGTCGCCGCTGAGTGTCGGAGACTGCTGCCGTAAAAAAGGCGTGTGAAAAAAAATGTTTGCCTACCTTTTTTTTCTCACGCACCTTTCTACTCGCGGGGTGTCTGCGCTCTTCCTGCTGCTGCTGCTGCCGCTGCTACTACGAGCATTGGGTCTAGGGCGGCAGCGGCCCATGCCCCGGCCTGCTGGGCTGGGGCGGGGGGGCACCCGCAAGGAGCTCCCCCAGAGCGAGCTCCTGCCCGTCGAGCGGGTCAACCGGTTCACCCACTGGAAGCTTTAGCAGCGTGCACGCGTGGGCGCGAAGCGCCGCGAGCGCTGCCAGGGTGGTCCACCGGTGCACCATCGGCGGGCCGCTGCCGCATGCTGCCGCAAACCATGCCGCGCGTTGGCGCGCGCGGGCGCGTGCGAACACGCGCAGGAAGGTGAGGGTGCTTTGGCTGAAGCGCCCGCCCAGTTCAACCCCGAAGACGCCATCAGAAATCAGTCGTCTCCCGGATCCTCATTGCGCTTTCTGCTTGCTGCAGTGGTCTGGCAACTCTTCGCGCCTCGCTTACTTGATATGCACGACGCCATGAGTTTATGCTCGTCGAGCTCACCGTTTGATCTCAAAAAATAAATTCGCACACCTTGCAAGAAGCTTTCGAGAGCATCTCCGGCCAGGACCTCCCGTCAGCCATGTGGGCACAGGCCACTCTGGCAGCACGAGACAAAAACAAAAAGGTTTTGGGCTCCGCCCCGCTGCAGATGTTGCCGACGCAGCTGACAAAACCTCGCGGGTCGCTGCGCATGGATTGGGGACCGCTGTTTGGCCTGAGCACCGCTGGGACGCGGACCAACCGGGCAACTTCCTCGAGCCAATCCGCTACTCCTCAGGCTACGTTCTCGCCGACTCTTCTGTTGCACCCTCCCTCTCCAGCCATCTGCCAATCCGCCACTCCTCAGCGATGTTCTCGCCGATTCTTATTGCGCCCTGTTTCCCTCTCCAGCCATATGCTCGGCGTTACATGCGGGCTGCACGGGACCAGGTCCAACAAAGGTAGGCTTCTCGATGTAGAGGCGGCTGGTACGCCCCCACGCACTCGCGATCACTCGCGCCGCCGCTCAGGCCGCAGAGCACTTGCGAGCGCAAGGCTTCCGAGCACCCTCATGGGCAACGCTGCTTTAGTAGGTGCGTGGGCCTCTTTACCTGTTGGGCATCCTGCCTGGTGCAGAAACTATATATAATATTGCTCGATCCATATATAAAAGTTCTCAGCACTATATATAAATTTTCCAGCAGATGAATCGAATTCGTTCCAGGTAGTCCGGAACCGTTCGGAACCGTTCTGGACTATATATGAATCCGACGTTTATATTTCCGAGCGGTTCCGGGCGACTTATAACCACTGTGGGGCTATTGTTGCGGCTTTAATTTGAGCGATGGTCGGCGATGGTGTCTCGCAGCTCGGTTATAAACAGTCCAGAACGGTTCCGAGCGGTTCCGGACTATGTATAAATAGTTCGGCCAATTTTATAAATAGTTCGGGGGGACTTTATATATAGTCCGGACGCATGAACTCTGTCCCAACAGACCCATGCCCATAAAGAGGCCCATGCACCCGCTAAACGCTGCTCGAAAGTAACTCCGAAGCACCTCCTGGCAGGCGCGAACCTGGCATCGGACGGCCGGGCTGGCAGCACGCGGCAACGACAGCCACGGACAAGCGCGTGCTCGGGACGCTATTTTCAGATCTTGACGCTGCGTCTCGAGCACTGCTGCTGTCGCAAGCGCTTCCACAGCCTTCCCAACGAGCTGGGACACGGACGTGCCCGATGCCGAGTACCGCATCCTACTGCTTCGCCGGCTGAGGCTACCGCTGCCGCGTACACCCGCGCGATGCCCTTGCGGAGGCAACCTCGACGCGCTCGGGGACCACGGGTCCGCGTGCGCGCAGGTCGGGGTGTTAGCCCGTCGTGCTGGCCCCCTCGAACGTGTAGCAGCGCGCATTTGCCGCGAGGCCGGAGCGCGGGTTGCCACGAATGTTTCGCTGCGCGATCTCAACCTTGATATTCCGGCCGCGGATGGGCGCAGAATCGAGGTCGTTGCCAACAACCTTCCGATCTAGCAAAGTGCTCAGATCGCGGTTGACACCACGATCGTAAGCCCTTTGAGGCGTGATGGCGAGCCCCGCCCGCCGGCGGATCGGGAACCGGGACTCGCCCTTCGTCAGGCCGTCGACCGCAAACTGCGGGCGTACCCAGAACTACGGTGCGCCCGCCGTTGCAAATTGGTCATCAACGACTAACGACAGCTGGCCTCCTGAGCCAACGCGTTTCCCACCATATGCGCACGCCTGCCACGGTGCGCAGACAGCTATGTGCAACTACTCGAATCTGAGGTCGGAAACGGTGCTCAAGGCGGCGCACGCACGTCGCACCCTACAGGACCAAGGCTGGAGCGACCCCACGTGGAGCATGCTCCTCGACAGCAGGTAGAAAGCCTGCCCCTGGCCGCGGAAAGGAAACAAATAACATAGCTCGGCGGGCAGGCATCCTGCCAGAGCAGCGGGGCGAGTTCGCTTGGCGGCGTGGTGTGGGGGGGTGCTTGCTGCTGCCTCGTCCGCCATGGCGGCGTGTAAACCGGAGTCGCCTCCTCCGTGGCGTCGCCACAGCGCCCGCGAGCGCCGCTGGAGCCTCACCACGTGGGGACGCGAAATAGGTGGTAGCGCTGAACAAACTTCGCTCTCGGCGCACCTCCATGTCGAGGCGTACCTCCATGTCGAGCAGGGTGAGCAGCGTCCCCAACTCGCCAGCCATGGTAACGATGCGGCGTCAACTTTGCGGATGCAAGTGCCGGGCTAACGATCGTCGCGTCAACGGCGATCTGCGCACCCTGCAATGGGGAGGCCGTTGGCCACCACCTCGATCGGCCGCAGGCACATCCAGGTTGAGGTCACGCAGGGCGACATGTGCAGCGACTCGGGCGCCTGCTTCCCTGCAGATGCGAGCCGCTTGCTCAAGGGGCCAGCTCTCCAGGCCAGTGCACCAACAGCGCCGCGGGGCAAGCGGGACGGGCAACGGAAGTCTGCAAAGCAGCTTGACTGGGCACTCGGCCGTGAAGGCACAACGCGCGGCCTGCCCGGCCTGAGTCAGCAGCACGCCCGAGGCGTTGGGCCCAGCTCGGAGAGAAGCGTTTCGCGTGCTCTTGGCCAGCAGCGGGCCCCCCCCGGCCAGCAGCTTCACAGCCACGCTGGCTGAATGCGGGGCACGGGCGGCAGCTGCTGGAGCAGGCGGTCCTGCTCGCGCAAACGCTGTGTGAGCTTTTTGGCGACGAACGTCGGGCTTCCCAAGACCACCACGCCCTGCTGGTCCTCTGCGAGCGCACAACTTCCGGTCCATAGGGGTTGGCAGGGTCCTCAGCGGGGAGCCGGGCAAGGAACCTTCGGGGTTCTCCGTCTGCGCTGTTTCACGCGCGTGTCTTGCCCAGATGCACCTGGATAGCAAACCTCTGGACGGTGCGTCCTTTCGTTGCACACATTGTTTTCAGCCCAGTGCAACATTGCATTCGTTGGCCGTGTTGCTGCACGTGGCCGTTGTGCCAAGCACTAGAATTTCTGTGGCCCTTGCCGCCGGGGCTCTGCCTTGCGTCGCTCCGCTGTCCGCAGGGCGGCGCTGTCGACTTCGGCCGTGCATGGCTGTGGTTGGTAAGTGTCGATGTTGCCTGTGCCAGCGAGGGGGAGCGACAGCAGGCTTGCCGCGAAGGCCCGCGCAACGGCGAAAGCAGCGCGGACCACCGCGGGACAACAGCAGAGATGGCGGCGGGACGTCCAGGGCACAGAACGGGCACGGCGTGCCAGCAGACGCACCACGAAGCGGGCAGCTTCAAGGCTCCACCTCCCACCAACCTCAATTGCCCTGACAGCCAGACTGCACCGGGAGGCGCGAGTGAACAAAAGGGTTAAGCGTCGCCCCGTAGGTGACCACATCTAGATGGCAGCCGTCATCTGCGCGCACTCCGGGCACCGTGGTGTGCACGAGCCATTGTTCTGGCGCCACCTGCCTTTCGGCGGCCTCACGTGCGAAAACGCGGAACCACGCTTGTTCGACGGCTCGCGGGCAAGCGAGCCGCAGAGGCGATCTACTTGTGTCCCACAGCCGGGTGCCGGGCCGCATCTGCCGTGGCAGAAGCGGAGCGGCCTGCGCAGGCGGCGGCGGAGCGTGAGTTGCATAGCCGGCAACATCATACTGTTGCGGAAATGTTGGTTGCGAGTGCGAGACGCATGAAACTGCCAGCCACGTGGCCAGTCTCCGGAGCCGTTGAGGTCACGCACGCGGACATTCAGTGGCACCAGCCTCCCTGCAGATTCCAGCAGCCGCACGCTCACACGCAGGACTCCAGATCGCCTGGGCGCTGCGGCACCGGCATGTGGAGGGTGTCAAGGGGAGCGGGAGGTGAAGCCTGCGCAACAAAACGCGAGGGTAGTTTCTGGAGAGGTCGGCCGCACCGTGAGAACGCGAACGCGGGCAGCAAACGGCCCCGACTGCGAGTCCAGGAGGGCGACAGCTGCCCCATCAAGCTCACGCTCCGCCATGGCTGTTAACCAGGCACCCGCGTGCGGCCCAGCTTCAGAACGCAAGAGCGCGTATGCGCTTGGTGGCAAGGCTGGCCGCAGCGTGCGCTCGCGGAAGTGTAAGTTGCGAGTTCGCGACGCACTGTGCTGCCAGCCATGCGGCCAGTCCCATGGGTTCGACCGTGCAATTGGTCTTCCTCCCTGGATTTCATGGGCATGAGCGTAACTTTGCGACTTTGCATCGGTGCTGGGATTGCTCGAGTTCGTAGTGCTTGATCCCGTAATAAGGTCTGCCTGCACGTACTCCGCATCACGCCCGTACTCGGCCACAGCACTTTCCCATTCATATGCTTCGGATTCTCAAGTCCACTTCGACGCGCGGCTTGCCGCCTCGTTGCGGATAGCTGCACTTGCAGCACTTGTATCCCACTCGGGATCCTTGCGTTTGACGAACGGGGGGCCCAAGACTCTCAAAGCTCTGGCATCAGGTGGCCTGTTGCTGATGGTTGCTGTCACCGACCCAGGCAACGGAAGGGGTCCAGCTGCTCACTGAGCGCGACACAGAGGGCAGGCCTGAGGGGGTCGCCCTGTTCACCGCCCTGAGCTGGTGATGCGGTGGGCGGTGCTAGCATCATCCGTCGACAGCGTCGAAGGGCGCCCGTATAAGAAACGCACGAAGGGCAAGATGTGGCAACACGCACGGCACCGCGAAAAACTGCTTCCAGCACTACCCTCACTTGACACAATTGTTGGCAAGCCATCGTGAAGCCTTCTGCTCAACATACCTGACCACCCTCCAACGAGACCACATTGTCAAAAACACAACGGCCGCCCTCGTGGTGTGTGGCGCTCGCATCATGTTGACCTCCGCGCTATATCGACGTTACCAGCAGTCTTTTCTAGGAACTTCAGCCAGCGCGTTACACTTTTAGAGTGGATGCAAAAGCAATGTCGGATCTTTGCTTTCCAACTACAGTATCATACACCTTGACAACCGGGGACGCGAACCGATGTTGCGCGTTGCCGATGCCCGTCCAAATTGCTATGACCGTTGGTGTTTGCGGAGGCTTCTCGTTGTTGGATCACAAAACTTTGCAGAAGATCTTGGCCCTGCAGCGATTTCGAGGGAGTTGGCGCATCCGAATTTCAAGGGCGCGCTGTCTTGACGGCTTGGTGTGCAGGCACAGCACCTATGGCACATGAGAATGCAAGACTGTACACGTCGCACGCAACTTTGGATATCCTGGGATTGATAAGCAATTAGGCGACTAGGTTACAATGTCCTCACAGCCCGTTCCTGTCCTCTGCCATCGTGAGGAAACTAGAATGCCGCCGGGCTCCATGGGCACCAAGCACACTAGCAGCTTGGTCTGCCTGCGAACAGAACCGCTACGAAAACCCCATGATTGGCTTCTGGCGCCCCCTTCAAGTGAAAGCCGCCTGCCAGCCAGACAGACCACAGCCAAAGTCCTTGGAAACGAAAATCTGTTGGTCTTGCTAAGCCATCACTGGAGCTCGTTGAGCTCAAGACCGCTTCCGGCTTGTTTGATGCGCAAGCTGCTTCCTCACAATGTCAGATGAAGGCAACTGTCCACAGCTGCAGAATTGCTCCGATGTCGCGAAAAAAACAGCTCTCACAAGTTTTGACAAGTACGTAGAACATTCCTCAGAACGTACAATTTTCCCAAGCCTCCAGGCCATGACCTCGGCCAACACAATCAGTGACCAGGGTAGCGATGGCGCATGTGATTAGTGCTGCTTGGGGAGCTGCAGCGAGGCATTGTGTTGATGCCCAGCTGCGCGATGGCGAGCACAAACTCTGACAACACTACAACTACAGCAAACAGATCAGCGTGAATGCAAAGGCGATCGCGGTCACTTGCTCGTAAACACGTGAGGATGCATGCAAAGAATCAACATGACGTCTCTCAACATCCACACTCCCACAACCGGGCAAAATCAAACGAGGCATCTCAACGGTTGGTTGCCAACCGTGTTAGACGGTAACTCCAGGAGTCTGGGCTCTAGAAACAAAGTCGTTCGTGCAGAGTCTTGAACCTGCTTGCTTATGGCCGCCCTGAGACCACATCCCAACCATAAACTGCGGTTGTCCGCAACGAGGCACAATCATCATCCTTATTGTATGCGCAGAGGCATCCCTGCAATCTCTGCATTTTCAACTTTCAACTCTGGCTAAATGCTGGCGACAAACAAATGCAACCTGTCGACAAGCTGGCGGGACACTGAATGCACAGCAAAACATATCAAAACATGCATTACGCAACGGTTGATTTTCATCTTGCCACCGGGCGCACGTGACATGGTGATTGCACATCCTCGCAACAACAATCCCAAAAAGTGCATGGAATTCAAGTCGCCAAACAGTGCTAAAGAGTGCACACTTGTGAGCAGGCTGCTGCGAACGATATGCTCCCCCGACTGCGCAAGTCAAGTGGCCTCGAAAATGCTGAGCTGTAGATAGCTGGTTTCGGGGATTTCAAGCGCTAAACTGTTGTACCTTCTTTGTATCCTGCTCGTACAATGTAGGGCCCTCGTGTTCGCAGCAATTTGCTCATGCTGCAGGTGTATTCTCGCAGCGAAGGCCTTGCATTGCTCATGGGTCGGCTAGCTCCACAAACTCAAGCTGTTTAGAGCCTAAGGCACCCTCGTCAGCACCAGACGGTTCCAGAATTCTGATGCCCAGTGTGAGCTGCTGGCACAGTATGGCTGATTCAACAAAGGTCTTTGATAAGCTTGAAGAAGCACGAGGAAGTAACCCTTGAAGGCAAGAACGAGGGCGGATTCCGGACCGCCGGGTGAACAAGAGTTGCCAGCTCCATTGCAATCGGAAACAGCTGAGGCTCCATGTGGAAAGCCTGCCCCAAAACATCGCAAACGCTGTCTTCATGAGAGTCTCAGCCGGCATCAGGTGTAAATACAACTTCAGACGTGCAAGCAAAGGTCCAGGGTCCCAGGCAATGTGCTCTACTCGAACTTATGAACGGCGTGCCGGCACGTAGCTCCCCAAGACAGGTGAAACTTGAAGCAAGGTGAACAATTCACCACATGGTCTGCATAACAGGTTTCACATGAGGTCCTTTCATCATGATTCACTTTGACACTAACACATATACCAAGAATGCTCCACAACCCAGGCCTCACTGGTAGCCTACAGAGCGCGGCACTTCGGTCGAGGCCTCCTTGTAGCTCCGGATGATGGGATACAGACGGCCCTGGTCACTGATGCACTGGAAGTAGCTGATGCAAGCATCCATACCTTGCACATTCTTGGCCACTACCACATTCAAGGGATCGCTGTCCTGGACGTTGTACCCCTGCAGACTCTTAAGGCATGCCTCCATCCGACTTGTTGCGCAGAAGTTCACAAAGGCATAAGCCATGCTGTTGGACTTCGTGGTGCTCTTCGCTGGGAAGAAAAGAAAGAAGTCGTAGCCCCTCAAGTCACCGATTTTCTGCAACCACTGCAGGGCATCTTCCTGGTTGGTTATGCGATCCGGGAGGTTCCGGATCACCAAGGTTGTGGCGCTGCAGCTCTCAAGGCTGACGGCCTTCTGCGCCTGGGCTCTGATGCATGCATCCACAGACTCTACACCCACAAACCTTCCGAACTCTCGCAAAAACCTACACCCTGACGCGGGTGAGGCGCTATCCGGAAGTCTTCCGAAGACATCGTCTCAAGAGCCTCTCGGTCGAAGTAAGGGCCGGCCACAGAGGTCTTTTGCTGTGTCCTTGGCGCAATATTGTTGTTTCGGGCTCTGGGTCTATCAGCTTAATGTAGCTTAGGACTTTTTGTGGGCCTCTCAGATTCACTTCGGTTTTTCATGTTTTTTTCACCTACGCAATGCGACTGTAAGTATACTGCAGCACCAGCGACATCACAAGAACCGATGCGCAGAACCTCCCATATCCACACCATTCCGACCCCTACATATCAAGACATCCAGTGCTTATCACGAAGTCATAAAGAACTTAAGACCAGGAGATCCAGGAGTCATATGCCAGTACCTCAGAAACAGCTCGCGGAAGCCTCTCGTGGATGACTCGGCCACGGATAGGGCCAGCTCTTGATCCTTGGTTTTGCTTTCCAAACACTCAAATCACATGTCATGCACTAGCGCAAACTTGCTCACGTTGCTCCAAGGCTCTCCCGACGGGTTGATGCAACAGTCTTTGAGGCGCTGACGGAAGGATTCACAGTCACGTGGAGTCTTAAAGTTCACAATGGCATGCGAGAGCTGTCGTGCCCCCGATAGCTTCCGTGCGAACCAGATCACCACATCATACCTGTCACGAAATCCAAGGCCGTCCAGCAACCCTTGCGTCTTCCCATGGCTGTAGTCCACGGGCAAATTGTGCATGATGAGCGTGGTGTCATTCGAGCGGAAGTTGCCGTGTATAGTGGGACCTGTACCCCGCCGTTTGCTCCTGGTAGACCTACATGTGTCGTTGGGCTGCACCGTCTGGTTGATGTCGTGCGACGGCCACGCTGCAGTGCTCTCCGTTGACGTCATGTGTTGCTGGGGGACAAACGCCGGCGCTGCTTCCGCAGTCTCTTCGGCGATCGCCAACGTCTCGTTCTGCTCTGCACCCACAGGAAGTTCACAGAGGTCTGCGCCCTGCACTGAAGGCATGACTGCCCGGTGTGGCTTCATAATGTGTCGCGAAAGCTGCAAGGTGCGTGATCCGATTGCGAGGGATGAAGGCTGAAGCAGGCTCTGCAACTGCACTGTTGTAGCTGCTTTTGATTGCTGAATGGGAGCCATTGACATCATTGTGGCCATTGTCATAAGCTGTCCCTGTGGAATGGGAACTGTGCTTAGTAAGCCTCCCACATCCAACCGCGCGATGGGTGCAGCTTGCTCCTCGTGCCAAGAACATTCCGATCTGCTCGACACATGCGCCGCCTCCGTGCTTTCTTGGAAGTATTCACTACACAGCTGGGTGAGCAGGTCTGGGGCATCCGCAACCTCCTTGTCGAAAAGTTTGTCCATCAGCTTGAGCTCTTGCATACTGGGGCCGCTAGGGACGCTAGGGCCGCCAGGGCCGCTAGGGCCGCTGGACCCTTTGCCATGTACTGCTGCTGGCATGACGCCCTGCAGCAAAGGATACGACGGCAGTTGATGGCTGAAGCAGCTCTTGCCGAATATGTCGGACTGTTTTAAGAAGCAGCTGTTGCCGCCCATGCGGCCATTGGCGGTTCGTTGTGGACAATTGAAGCTTTGCTTGCTTTAGATGTGTATGCGTGTTCAAGAAACCTCCGGATTTTAGAAGAAAAAACTGATCTCAGTGCATTGTGATCTGTGTCATCAGGACATGCGCTCCATGCAACTGGACATGCCCGGCCATCGACGGAATGTCTACCGGAGGGTCTACTGTTCTGGGCCTGTTTCCTGTTAAATTTCCTTGGCTTTCCTAGGAAAACCTCTATTGCCTCCAGATTTTGAGAGGAAATCGTATTTTTCCTTACACTTTCGCTGGGAAAACCTCTATTCCCCCTCTGTATTTTGAATGGAAATCGTTGCTTCCCGTAGGTTTTGACTAAAAAAGAACGAAGAAACGAAGAAAAAAAAAACTGAAAAATGAATAAACGAAACAGAAAAAAAAACACCCGAAGAATGAATGGAAGCGATAATGAATGAATGTTTGGATTTCCCCTCTTATACTAACAGTCCTTAATAGGGATTGTATTGGGGGGGGTACTTTCATCCTTGTTAAGGAATGTTAGTGTAAGGAAAATGAGTGAATGAAAGAACGAATGAATGAACTAATGAAGGAATGAAGGAATGAACGAAAGAACGAATGAATGAATGCATGAAAGAATGAACGAAGGAAATGAATACATGATTAATGAATGAATGAATGAATGAATGAATGAATGAATGAATGAATGAATGAATGAATGAATGAATGAATGAATGAATGAATGAATGAATGAATGAATGAATGCAAGAGAGAAATAGATAAATAGAAAGCGAGGGAGCGAGCGAGAGATACTGAAGAATGAATGAAAGAAAGAAGCGCAGAGAGAATGACCAAAAACAACCCCCCCCTTGTTTGTTTAAGCCGGGCAAACTTTTGTCAAGGGAATCTTGTTGTGTCCCATGATGCGAACATGGTGCTTGCACATGGAGGGGCTGCGCCCCACCCCAGCCCCAGCCGCCAGCTTTTTTCAAGCCGTGCACGCTTGCTTCAAAGCATATGAGTCTTTTTGAAACCCATCAAGCAAGCGTCTCGGCTCTCAGCGTTTCGTATAGCGGGCCCCCACTAGCTGACCGTAGTGCCCCTTCGGTGATTTCTGTACTCTTCTCACCATTAGAAGCCATTCTGCCTGTTACTCAGATTCGCGTTGTGGCTCTGGAACTGGTTGCAGACTGCTTGCTGAAAAGTCAAGACACTATTGACATTGACAGTGCCTTGGACCTCGCAGGGCAGCTGTGGAATCAGGATACTGCAGACGAACTTGTGCCAGCGATCCTTGAGGTTCTACCGAGAGAACAGGGACTTCAGCTGGTGGCCATCATTTCTGTCAGGTTCCCGTTGTTGTGTGTAGCACTTGAGCAACAACTTGCAAAGACTCTTATCAGCCTGATCTCAGACAAACCATGAATCTCGCTCTGCCCTTGATATTCACAGTCATCCTTTGCCGCAGATGCATCCCCGCCTACGACAGTGCCATGAGGCGCACTGGTCGGCCAGATCCCACTATGTGCAGTCAACGGCCCCTAGGGGAGCCAGCTCCAAAGCCAGCGCACGAAATAAGAGAGGACCCCAAGCCCCAACCCCCCCCCCAAACCAACAGAAGCTTCCATCTTTGCCCCCCTCATTGCAGCTCCCATCACCACCGCTCGCTAGTTCCTCTTCAAATGACAGAATCCATGGAGTGCCGAGGAGCGCGCAAGGGCTCCTGGACTGGAGCGAATCAGAGAGCTCCGCACATGAGACAAACATGCTCCCAGCGGACAGGACCGACAGTCCCACAATCGGCCCCAGCCCGGGGGAAGCCGATGGCCCAGGTCAATCCTCCAGCCCTGCACAAGGACCGGGCACCGACGACTCACTCTCGACAGACTCAGAGCCGCCACCACAACCTAAGGGTCGCAAGGTGGGCATATCGAGCAATGCTGTGGCATACGCAATTTCCACAGGTTCATGTGCGGGCCTTATCACCAGACTCCTCGGAGACATTCGAAGTCTACCTCCTAGGAAGAGGCGAAAGAAGGCTGCAGAACTTCTCGCTAAGTGTGAGACCTTGCAGGCCGAAACTGATGCTTGTTAGAGGCACCTACCGAAGGCCTTCCTTGACTCTTCGAGGGCCTCACCGTAGACACATGTGGAATATGTGCCCTGTCGCAGTTAGCTATGCTCGGCACGGAACGCCAGCCCTGATACCCAGTCAAATCCTTAACATGCTCGCATCCCAGGTGCAGTGTACCCGAAGTGGGAAACTCGGTGTAGCAAGATGCATAGCCCTGCACCCGACTGTACTCCCATTGCCTGACACTCGCAGATGTCATACCCGCCCCAAACCCGGACTATATGCCCAGGTCACTTCAAACCGAAAAGCTGCGGGCGCCGTATTCGGCCCTACACAAAGCACCTGTGGGAGGACCTCGGGGTTTCTAAGTGCGAGAATGGAGATCCGTGTTGTAGAGTGGTTGCCGGGCTGCAGGAACATGATGCACGCCACGCCTGATTGCATCAGCATATACATGTGTGGTATCTTTGCCGATAGCATGTCAGATCAAAAGTGGCATCGATATCCCCGAGCTCGGGTCAGGCCCGACGGCACTAGGAGGCGCACCCGCAATGAACTGGCTGCCCGCAGTGCTCGCCGCAATGCCCCTGGCAATCAAAGGGAAAGAGCCGACACTGCGGCCCCCCGTGCTCAGGAGATGAATCAGCAGCCCTGGCGACAAGCGGCCGATCGCGAGAGCCGACAGCCACACTGGCAGAATGCGCGGGGAGCCGACGCTCGGCCCCGGGATCAACATCAGGACTGGTACTACGACGAGGAGGACGAAGATGATGAGGACTACCAGTTTGACACCAGTGACCGGCACGAAGTGCATGCGACGGAAGACGAAGAGGGCTACCTCAAGATCTGGTGGCAGGGAGAATGGTGGTTCCGGCAGAAACCGCCAGACCCACCGGCATCGCCAAAGAAGAGACAGCAGGCTAGCAGCTCGAGCGAGCAAAGGAGGCCTACCACTGAGGGAGCCGTTCCCCCGGCCCCTGCCCAGCATGTCTCCGAGGGCCTCAAGCAATTCGTCCCCCCTGCCCGAGACAGTGTGCCTCCACAATCCTTGAGAGCCGTGCGTGAGAAGTGGAACCTGCTGGCCATCATCGAAGATGACATCAATGTCCTGCGCAAAAAGAAGGTCGCCCTCATGTTCAAAACTTTCTTCGAAATGGGGCACTTCGTCAAGCATCATGACGACTTCCACCACTCGGAGTCCCTGAAGATCATCCCGGCCGCAGGCAACTGGAACCTTGCGTTTGCCATGTGCCTGATTTCCAGAGACAAGCTCCACTACGCGAACCACTCCACCTTCGGCACAGCTGTGGAATGCTGGTTATGGAGCCTGTCCAAAGATGCGGACTTCGAGCCCATCCTCACCCAGTTCGCCGGCATGCTGCACAGCGTCATCGCACTGTTTGAGGGAGTCCCCATGTCGCTGCATGAACAAATCCATTGGTTCGATAGTCATCAAGACCTGGCAATCAAATTCAACTACTACTTCCCCACCGAGCAACTGAAGGATGATGAGCAAATTGTCCGTGTGGCAATTCAGGACCAAACCAGCCAGGACAGCAGAGATGATGACATGCCGGACAGGACCTCCAAGCACATGGGAAACACGGCTCCTGCAACCAGGACTGCCGAGCTGGCTTCGTCTGATGCCTATGTGGAGATGGAGGTTGACTACCCAACGGGGCAAACGCCACCAAATCAATCTGGCAGCATCCCCCACTCCCCGCGCAGGGTCGAGAGATATAACATCTACACGGAGACGACCTACGCCAGCAGTGATGGCACCTCTCTGCCCACGCCAGCACGTGATTCGGCCCCCCTTGGGGAGCCGACGAAGCTCTACTGGAAACTGGATCAGTCTCTCTCCAAAAGACTGTCAGTTGTTCTGAGGCACGACTCTGAAGACTTCGGCTTGACGTTCGACGAGGCAGGGTGGACCAAGGTGTCAGACCTTTTACGTACCTCCATCATGAAGGAGAAGGGGGCAACCCTCAACTACATCCGCTCGGTGGTCTACTGGAACGACAAGCAACGCTTCGCGCTCGAATGGCGTGGTGCCGATCTCTACATCAGGGCGGTTCAAGGTCACTCCAAGAAAGGACTACGTGATGAAGCGGTCATGCGGCCCCTTGGGGATGCCGAGTTGCCGGAGCACGTCCTCCATGCAACCAACTGGGACTTCTACGGCTCGATCTTGGCGAAGGGCATCATCACGGGAGGCCTCTCCCAGTCCCGGACACACATTCATTGCGTGTCAGTAGACAAAAGTGAATATCGGAATTACCCCGCGCATTGTGACATCGCAATCATACTCTCCCCGAAAGAATCGGGGGCCGTCTGGTTCCGTTCAATGAACGGCTACTATTTAACCCGGGGTGCCGATGGCAAGCTGGCCCCGCATTGTATAAAGGCCGTCAGGATCCTGGCATCGGGAGAAGAAGTTTTTGGCTCAGAGGGGCCACCGGCTGCTGACCTCGTCATGCAGGCCATCGTTCGGTCTCACTCTTTCCGGTCCTCCAGGGGAAGCCGATCTTCGGCCCCCAATGACCGTGACCACGACCGCACTGCAGCTCAGAGAGCATACACGGGGGTTGTTTTGCATCATCACATCCGTTGCACCGTCTCCTCTACCCAATGCATACACACCAACCCCTCGCCTCTGCTGCAGGACTATGATCGACGAGATGTCCCAGGTCCCGAGAGTCAGTACGCTAGGTTAAGATGGGGACACATCCTTCTGCTGGGAGTGTTTTTGGTCGGTGGGAAGGGTTATGCAGGCAGGCTTCTTTCGCTGCAAAGAGATAGACTAACTAAATGGCTCTGCACCAGGAGAATCAGAGGTTGCTACAGAAGGAGACCCTACATCCTCAGCACACATGCCACGTGCACTACTAACCTATCTACAACACAGATGGGTGAGCCCGCCAGACACACATCACCGAGCCGCGCTGGTCCCAAGTCCAGCGGCTGGGCCCCAAGCTTTCGAAGTCTCTTCTGGATGTGGATCCTTATCCTTTGTGGAAGCTTCGTGACAGCAAATGGGGGTCGAGCAGACGTGAGGGTTACCACGGGTTCCAGTACCGTGGTGGGAGCCACACAACATCGGCCCCAACAGTCCAATAGAATGGGCGAAGACACTGGCCAGGCAATACGTAATCACCACAACAGCATCGGGTGGATCGCCAAGAGATCGCTGCGACGAGCTCGCGCACGAGCCTATGCCACAGGCGGCACTCACTATAAGGGCACATGGTACACTAGGGAAACACTGACAAAAACCACAGGGGGCATACACCAGCTGGGGCCGAATGACCGGCCGGCTAAACCCACAAAGCATCCCAAATCTGACAAAGCATCTCACCTTAGATGTCTCACCTGGAACATGAGCGGGGGGTCGCAGGCGGCCTGGCAAGAACTCATGTCATGGTTAAGTGAGAAACCAGATGACTTTGACATTGTGTTCGTGCAGGAAACACACTGGAAACAGGAGGGGTGCCGCACCTTCTCGTCCGGCCCCTGGTTCGTCGTCTCCTCAGGGGCTACAGGCAAAGACAAATGCTCAGGAGTTGCCACTCTGATCCATCAGAATATCTGCAAGCAAGATAATGTTAGCTACAGGGTTATTAGGCAAGGCAGAGTACTCTCGGTTCGACTACATCACCAACAGAACGGCTCCGATCTTCTGAATGTCTACCAGCATGTGTGGAGGACAAACATTGACAAAGCCGAGAACCTGAAAGCTCGGGCCTCAATCTGGGATGCGATACGGTCTAGCATCATGAAGAGTCCACAAAGGAACGACTTGATTATTGCGGGAGACTTCAACTGCTCCATCAAAACCTCGAGGGGATTGATAGGTAGTGCCGTGGTTGCCAAAGTAGAGGGATCGCCTGACGAAGATGACTTTCTCGGAATACTCCAGGACTTCGGCCTCACTCTCCTCAATACGTGGAACTGCACTCCGGCACATACGTGCGTGCACCAAGGCACCAAAAACACAATTGGATTTCGTTGCGTGTAGGGTCCAGCACGCAACTCGCACTGCTAGACACAGCAGACCCATGCATCAAGTCGCCCTCGGAAAATGGAAGGCCAATCACCACATCCCAGCGCAGGCTCACATCCGTAGAGTCGCGCCATGTCGCCTCCCGAACCCAGTCAAACCTTCGATGGCGTCTAGGCAATGCATCCAAGACTCCATTGCACAGGCAGATGACCGGGCTAAGAAGTTAAAGCACCTCATCGACGCGGATATTCAGAAGCTGGACCCTGACTTGCATCTTCACAGCTTCACGCGGCAGGTGGATGAGATCATGAAAGAACACATGCAAACCGTCTACCCTCCAGAACCTGCAGTTGACAACCGCGTTTCGCAAAATCCGCAGTTTAAGCACACCGCGAAAGAGATGTGGGCTAAGTACAAGGAATGGAAATCCACCAAAGCGAACAGCTTAATCGAAACTCTCCGGAAATGGAAAAAGTACACTGAGTTTCGCGTGGCCTCTAAAGCGATGAAACAAACTGCCAAGAAAATTAAACGTGAAAAGCTGCAGGCTGTCGCCGAGGACCTACAAGTAGCTGCCGCTAAGGGCGATCAAAGGAAAGTGTGGGTGAGCGCTAGAAAATTAGCTCCCTGGAAACCCTTCGCGCGCACACACATCCGCAGCGAAAAGGGAGAAATCCTCACTCCCAAAGAACAACTGGCTGAGCTCATTAAGCACAGCAGAAACAAGTTTTGTCAGGGAGAAGACTATTTGCCCAATCACCGAGTCACTGAACCCATTCTTGTTCAGGCCAAAGACCTCGTTTGGGCCCTAGGAAAATTACCTTTTCGCAAAGGGGTGCCGAAGATGTCGGCCCCGGCAGCAGTTTGGAGATTGTGCCGTGACCAGGTAGCCAAAACGCTGGAACCCATCCTGATGCGATCCTGGGGGGAGGATTCCCTCTGCGTCATCCCACACGTGTGGAAAGACACATACCTCGTATGGTTGCCTAAACCACAGAAAGACCCCAGCCGCCCGTCCGGGCTTCGTCCCATAGGACTCTCCCACCCTCTCTCGAAATCGGTATGTGCTCTGCTGAGAGAACACATCCGACCACTTCTTGAGGAAGCGCTGGTCACTCGACCGCAATTTGCATATACTGCCGGCAGAGGGGTTCTAGACGCCTTACTGAGAGTGCACAACCACCTGAGAGAGGCACGTGCGTATGCGACCCTGAGCAAACAAAGCATATATGACCTTCATGCCGGAGCTACCCAGGTTAAATGCGCAGGAGGCATATGCTTCTCCCTTGACCTTGAGGGGGCGTTCGACAATGTACCTCGCACTGCCCTTGCCACTAGCCTGAGACGACTAGGGGTCTCCGAAACGCTGGTGCAACTACTTACGCAGTTCCATTTTGAGGCAAGGTATCACTGCTCAGTTGGCGTTCATGAGGACCACGTCACGACCACACGAGGCATCAAACAAGGCTGTACGGTCGCGCCGTATTTGTTTGTGGCACACACAATTGCTATCATTGACACACTAGCGGAGCGCCTAGGCTGGGACTGGGTAACGCAGCTGTTCACTTTTTACGCCGACGACGCCTTAGCCGCATGGACGTTAAAAAGCGCCGAAGACCTTCAGGGTGCCATTTGCGGCATCCAAAAAGTCGTGCAAACCTTTAACGACCACGGTATGACTCTCAGCGCAACCAAATCGGTCGTGCTGTGTCACGCCAAGGGAGCAGATGCCATTAGGATTTTGCAGAAACTTAAAGTCTTCAAGGACAAACTCCCACACCTTGCCTTCATGCAACACGGCGAGCAGATTCTGATCCCTCTCAGGAAAACACATCAGTACCTAGGTACCGTCATTTCCTATAGAGACGCCCAGGAGAAAACTGTTCAGCTACGTATGCGTAAGGCGAGGGGTCAATATAGCCAGCTTCGCAAAGCCATCAACTCCAGACGCGTAACGCACAACCGTCCCAGGTACCAAATCTGGAGAGCCGGGGTGTGGAGCTCAGCAGCGCACGGGCTACTGGCGGTGGGCGTTAGACCCACAGGACGCAAGCATCTTCGTGCAATGGCTGCCAGACAGATGCGGGCTATTGCCAAAAAGCCGGCGCATCTTACCCTAGTGACCAATGAACAGATCCAGAAGCATCTCAATGCTGAGGACCCCCTGCAGGCGCTCGCTAACCAGGCCAGAGAATGCATGACGCACTTGAGACAGTTGCAGCAGAGTGCCCCAGCGACATTAGGGCCCTTCCACAGGTCCGGGCGCAGCTCGCGCTGGCTATCAACTCACTCCATTCGATGAATACAGGTAAGCAGCTTCCTGAAGATAAGGAGTCAGACCCTTATACCTGTCCGCATTGCAGTCAGCAATTTCGCACTATCACTAGCCTCCGACAGCATAAGGCATGGAAGCACCCAGAAGATAAGCCAGAACTGCTCAGTTTTGATCCGGCAAACCACGCACTGAATGGTCTGCCCCAGTGTGCCTTCTGTAAATTCAAATACGGGGCATGGATTGGGCTTAAAGCACATATTGAAAAAGGATACTGCCCTGTTCTTTATCCGGGATGCAGTACTCAGGGAGCCGCGGTCGGCCCCGAAGCAGATACTAGCACCAATCCAAAAGCTCCAGAGGAGGCCACTGCAAATGAGCCGCCTCCCATAGCCCAAAAGCCGGTTCTTGATGTTGCTCGGCAACAAGGCTGGAAAAGTCTGCTAGATGCCGATGTTGTGTCGTCCCTCAAGCAACACTGCTGTGTTTGCAAGCGATGGATCGCCGATCCCACGGCTCTGAAGCGACACATAGTTAGGGCCCACAAGGACGTGTGGGCAGTCACCGCCAACGGCAAACTTGAGGAGCGATGTGCACAGGTCAAGCCCCGACTCCTCCGAAATGGTACCTGCCCGTGGTGTGACAGGTCCTCCCCCTCCAGACATTACTTCCAATGCAATGTGATCTTCCAATGTGCCCTGATAGGACTACACTGTGAACATGACGACGGAAGTGGTGAGCGTCTTCGGCAACCTACTACCAGGGCTAGCGACGAACATGAGAGAGACCTCGAAGCAGCCGAGAGAAATGGACCGGGAGACCGAGAACGCACCGAACAAGCGACCCAAAGCGGCCCGGCGAGGACAGCGGGGAGGCCGGCGACAAATTGCAGACGAGAACCTGAACTCGGTGGTGACGCTCCTGGCAAATCTGTCGCTGCAGCAGGAGGACGCCCTGAACCGTCTACGCCTGGACACATCCTTCACTTTCCACCTCCAGCAACAAGGCCCAGGAACCATATTGCTGCCGCTTTTCAAGGCGGGGCAGGAATGGCAACAAAAACAGAAGAAAGGAGAGAACGTCCCCCCGATGAGAATCGTTGCGCTGGGCCTCCTGCTGAAAGAGGTCGTGGCAAGAGTCCAACTGATGGTGGGAGATCCCACGGCCGTGGAGAATGCGATGAAGCATCAGTGGCTAGACCAGCAGAAGCGCTTCGTGTATCAGGAGTGGAACTCGGCCACCAAACAGGTGGAGCCGTCGGCGACAGCCAAGAGCCTGAAGGTGGAAGAGGCGACGGAGCTCATCAACCAGGTCGCCGAGCTGTGTCTTCCGGATCTGGTCACCAGGTTCTGCGCCCAAAGGCGTCCCAAGCAAGAGCCCCAGGAAGGCGACAAAGCAGTGTTCCTCATCGAAGTAGCCATGCGAGATCCGAGAGCAAACATCCTGCATCAGAAACTGCGACAGTTGGCCAACTGCGCGGTGTGGAATGTGGTGGGAGCGCAACTGCAGCCGCCAAACCAGCAACGCCACGGACTGGCAATGGCACTGCAAAAGGCCCTGGAAAACATCTGAGCGCTGCAGGAAGCGCACGGCCACCTACTGGTGTGCCGAGTGTCTCTCGCCTCAAGCTTAAAAATAGTGGCAACACTTGCTACATCAACTCCGTCATAACTGCCACCCTGTGGCAAGCACAGCTCAGGCCGGGGAGCCGCATACCCGATGCTTGGCAGAAGGCACTTGCCAAAACGCACTGGGATGCAGCCATGTTTCTCCGCATGTACATGCTTGGCTGGGCGCAGCCCAACAGACAGCATGATGTGAGTGAATTCATACAGTTCATCATCCCTAAGCTTGCTTGGACTGATAGCCTCGTTCACTGGGAGGCGAGAGTTGCGGTTGAGGAGGGATGCACAACTGAAATCAGGGAGCCCGCTGCACCATTGCTACTTCTGGCAGCACTTGGAGGTATCCAAGACGGGGAGCTGGACACCCTCATCCTTAGCTGGCACCTGCAGGCCCAACCGCATGCGCTATGCACAGCTCCGACTCACATTTTCCTTGTTCTACCTAGATATACCACGACCAATGGTGTCACGAGGAAGACCCGTGTGCTTCTTACATTCAACAATCGCTGTGTCCACCTGCCGATCTTCCGTAATGAAAGCAGCATAGCGTGTGATTGGCTTGCCTATGACCTCATTTCCATCATTGTGCATCTGGGTGAATCAGTTCTCACAGGGCACTACAGAACCGTTGGCTTGATACCGGGCAGGACAGAAGCCTGGTACATGGACGACGGTGTCGCATCGGAAAGGCTTGAAACCTTAAGTCCCGAAATCCAGTCCAACTGTTATGTGCTTGGCTGCATCCGCAGTCCCCCTGCTGGGGAAGGCGGATCGGCCTGACGATGAGAGCTTATTTTTCTCACAAAAGTGGGGGTGCACCCCCATCTAGGGTGCATGGGGGGACAGGCTTGCAACCCTGTCTGAATCTTTGTCTCTGTTCCTATGTACAGGGAAGGCACATGTGAAGCCGACCTTTCGGCCACAGAGCCATGATACCGGCGCTTCATGTCGGGTCGCCCTGCTAAGGAGTCTTGAGTGATGAGAAAATGAGATAGCTACACTCTCCCTGAGTGTTTTTGTGCTCTTCTTCTTTAGTGTACCGAGTCCTATTCTCAACCATGTCACCATATGCAGTCATGCGTTGCTCCATCAGCACAGGGGTGCCGCACCCTCATCGGCCCCAGGACATCTGCGGCACAAGTGTGCCCACACTGTTTAGCCCTGTGAGTGAGCGAACTGTGAGACCGGCCGTAGAATAGTATCCCTTGTACATACACCGTCCTTTTTGAGTTTGCGAGCACGTGTTTCTTTCCTGTTCACGGTAGGTCCAGGTGGGCTCTGTTGCGCTTGAGACCGTTTTGCCTGCAGTCTAGTTGAACTCCGGTTCCTGCGGGACGTCTCTTGCTGTCCATACCCGAAGCTGTTAGCCGCCGCCACAGAGCGGCCGTGACATATGTCATGAACTACAGCTAGCTAGTAGGTCAGACCAGACCGCTGCGGAATCGAGTTCGAGTTCGAGTGAAACCCATCAAGCGTTGTGTTGGCAAATGGAGCTTGCTGCGCCGCACCCGCCCCCTCCGTTTTCTTAAGCTGTACAAAGCTTGCTTCAAAGCATATGCAATGCCCGGCATTTGAAGCCGTGCAGAGGTTGCTTCAAGGCATATGAGTCTTTTTGAAACCCGTCATGCGAGCATTGTGTTTGCAAATTGGGGGAGCGGGCTGCGCCCCCCCACCCCATCTTTTAAGCCGTCCAAAGCTTGCTTCAACGCATATGAGTCTTTTTGAAATCCATCATGCGAGCATGGTGTTGGCAAGTTGAGGGAGGGGCTGCCCCCCCCCCCCGCCCCCCATCTTTTAAGCCGTGCAGAGCTTGCTTCAACGCATATGAATGTTTTTGAGCTCCAACATGCGAGCATGTGTTTGCAAAGGGGGGGGGGCTGCTGGGCTCCCCCCCCCCCTACCGCCCAACGTTTTGGGCGTGCAAGCTTGACTCGGAGAATATGCGTCTTTTGCAAACCCATCATGCGAGCATTGGGCTGGCAGATAAGGGCGGGGGCTGCGCTCCCTTGCTTTGTTAAGCCGTGCAAAGCTTTACGAAGCATATGAAGCCCTTCATGCGAGCATTGTGTTTGCAAATGGGGGGGCTCTGCCCCGCCAACCCCCATTTGGGGGGGGGGGGGTCCCCCACCCCTCACCCCCGGCCTTTTCAGCCATGCAAGCTTGCAATCCATCATGCGAGAATTGTGCGTGAAAATCATACGAAATCCTATGGAAAAGTTGTATGATCAGTATGGCTCATAGAGAAAAGCAGAATGCGTCAACGTTTTACATTAATGCATAGGAGATCATGTGAAAACGGATGAAATGTAGGAAAGTGTACGGTGTCCTACTACAAGATGAAGGGAATAGAGGTCTTTCTTATTGAGAACCAAGGAAACAGAGACAAAATCAACAAGGATTCGGAGAAAAACCAATCAAAAATCCTACGAGAAGCAGCATGACTTCTATGAAAATATTGAGGGAATGGGGTCTTCCTAGGAAAAAACAAGACAGTGGACCCCAAAAAGAACAAAAAATGTTAACACCCAAAAAGAATCTCCGCCCATGAAATTCAGAAGCAACTCCAATTCCAACTCTGGCGACATGCTGGCGGCCACATGCCCGAGGACATGAGAAGCACATGCGAGTTGTCGAAAACCCTGACATTCCGTGAAGAACGAAAAAGAATGTCACAAGACAGCTGCATTCCGCAACGGGTTGATTTTCAGCTTGCCACCGGCTCGGCGGAGGTGACGTGGCGATTGCCAATCCACATGACTCCAAATGACTGTCCCCAAATGTGTACAATACAGTGAATACAGTGTCTCGGCCAACAGTGTGACAAAGAGTGCACACTTGAGCAGGCTGCCCCGAAACGTTCCCCGATTTCGTACGTCAAGTGGCCTCTAAAGTGTTGAGCTAGACATAGCTGGTGATCACCGTTCGGGGAGTTTCACGGCAGCTAAACTGTTGTACCCTGCTCATCCAAATATGTAAGTCCCTCGTGATCGGTTAGCAGCGCAAGCCTCCGCGTAGCATATGCAACTTGCGTATGACACACATTCTCGCAGCGAAGGCCTTGCATTGCTCATGGGTCGGCTAGCTCCACAAACTCAAGCTGTTTAGAGCCTAAGGCACCCTCGTCAGCACCCGACGTTTCAGAATTCTGATGCCCAGTGTGAGCTGCTGGCACAGTATGGCTGATTCAACAAAGGTCTTTGATAAGCTTGAAGAAGCACGAGGAAGTAACCCTTGAAGGCAAGAACGAGGGCGGATTCCGGACCGCCGGGTGAACAAGAGTTGCCAGCTCCATTGCAATCGGAAACAGCTGAGGCTCCATGTGGAAAGCCTGCCCAAAAACATCGCAAACGCTGTCTTCATGAGAGTCTCAGCCGGCATCAGGTGTAAATACAACTTCAGACGTGCAAGCAAAGGTCCAGGGTCCCAGGCAATGTGCTTTACTCGAACTTATGAACGGCGTGCCGGCACGTAGCTCCCCAAGACAGGTGAAACTTGAAGCAAGGTGAACAATTCACCACATGGTCTGCATAACAGGTTTCGCATGAGGTCTTTTCATCATGATTCACTCTGATACTAAAATACCAAGAATGCTCCACAACCTAGGCCTCACTGGTAGCCTACAGAGCGCGGCACTTCGGTCGAGGCCTTCTTGTAGCTCCGGATGATGGGATACAGACGGCCCTGGTCACTGATGCACTGGAAGTAGCTGATGCAAGCATCCATACCTTGCACATTCTTGGCCACTACCACATTCAAGGGATCGCTGTCCTGGACGTTGTACCCCTGCAGACTTTTAAGGCATGCCTCCATCCGACTTGTTGCGCAGAAGTTCACAAAGGCATAAGCCATGCTGTTGGACTTCATGGTGCTCTTCGCCGGGAAGAAAAGAAAGAAGTCGTAGCCCCTCAAGTCACCGATTTTCTGCAACCACTGCAGGGCATCTTCCTGGTTGGTTATGCGATCCGGGAGGTTCCGGATCACCAAGGTTGTGGCGCTGCAGCTCTCAAGGCTGACGGCCTTCTGCGCCTGGGCTCTGATTCATGCATCCACAGACCTCTACACCCACAAACCTTCCGAACTCTCGCAAAAACCTACACCCTGACGCGGGTGAGGCGCTATCCGGAAGTCTTCCGAAGACATCGTCTCAAGAGCCTCTCGGTCGAAGTAAGGGCCGGCCACAGAGGTCTTTTGCTGTGTCCTTGGCGCAATATTGTTGTTTCGGGCTCTGGGTCTATCAGCTTAATGTAGCTTAGGACTTTTTGTGGGCCTCTCAGATTCACTTCGGTTTTTCATGTTTTTTTCACCTACGCAATGCGACTGTAAGTATACTGCAGCACCAACGACATCACAAGAACCGATGCGCAGAACCTCCCATATCCACACCATTCCGACCCCTACATATCAAGACATCCAGTGCTTATCACGAAGTCATAAAGAACTTAAGACCAGGAGATCCAGGAGTCATATGCCAGTACCTCAGAAACAGCTCGCGGAAGCCTCTCGTGGATGACTCGGCCACGGATAGGGCCAGCTCTTGATCCTTGGTTTTGCTTTCCAAACACTCAAATCACATGTCATGCACTAGCGCAAACTTGCTCACGTTGCTCCAAGGCTCTCCCGACGGGTTGATGCAACAGTCTTTGAGGCGCTGACGGAAGGATTCACAGTCACGTGGAGTCTTAAAGTTCACAATGGCATGCGAGAGCTGTCGTGCCCCCGATAGCTTCCGTGCGAACCAGATCACCACATCATACCTGTCACGAAATCCAAGGCCGTCCAGCAACCCTTGCGTCTTCCCATGGCTGTAGTCCACGGGCAAATTGTGCATGATGAGCGTGGTGTCATTCGAGCGGAAGTTGCCGTGTATAGTGGGACCTGTACCCCGCCGTTTGCTCCTGGTAGACCTACATGTGTCGTTGGGCTGCACCGTCTGGTTGATGTCGTGCGACGGCCACGCTGCAGTGCTCTCCGTTGACGTCATGTGTTGCTGGGGGACAAACGCCGGCGCTGCTTCCGCAGTCTCTTCGGCGATCGCCAACGTCTCGTTCTGCTCTGAACCCACAGGAAGTTCACAGAGGTCTGCGCCCTGCACTGAAGGCATGACTGCCCGGTGTGGCTTCATAATGTGTCGCGAAAGCTGCAAGGTGCGTGATCCGATTGCGGGGGATGAAGGCTGAAGCAGGCTCTGCAGCTGCAATGTTGTAGCTGCTTTTGATTGCTGAATGGGAGCCATGGACATCATTGTGGCCATTGTCATAAGCTGTCCCTGTGGAATGGGAACTGTGCTTAGTAAGCCTCCCACATCCAACCGCGCGATGGGCGCAGCTTGCTCCTCGTGCCAAGAACATTCCGATCCGCTCGACACATGCGCCGCCTCCGTGCTTTCTTGGAAGTATTCACTACACAGCTGGGTGAGCAGGTCTGGGGCATCCGCAACCTCCTTGTCGAAAAGTTTGTCCATCAGCTTGAGCTCTTGCATACTGGGGCCGCTAGAGACGCTAGGGCCGCTGGACCCTTTGCCATGTATTGCTGCTGGCATGACGCCCTGCAGCAAAGGATACGACCGTTGTTGATGGCTGAAGCAGCTCCTGCCGAATATGTCGGACTGTTAAGAAGCAGCTGTTGCCGCCCATGCGGCCATTGGCGGTTCGTTGTGGACAATTGAAGCTTTGCTTGCTTTGGATTTGTATGTGTGTTCAAGAAACATGGATTTTAGAAGCACAAAATTGATCTCAGTGCATTGTGATCTGTGTCATGAGGACATGCGCTCCATGCAACTGGACATGCTCGGCCATCTGCGGCGTTCATAAACAACTCCAATTCCAACAAGGTCAATCCTGCTGCTACCCACGCCGGTTGGTCGCCCTTCGTATGCACAACTTTCGTGCTATTGGCCTTGCAACCTAATTACACTTCTCCAACGTCCCCCTTCACAGGCAAAGCTAGCAACTTGCTTCCCAGGGATGCTGCTTTCAGCTTTGCCAGCGCTCAACATTAACTTAACACGATCCTGCTGCAGTCTCCTGCGTCGTCCAAACCCGACTTATGGCATGCCTGCGAGTTCATGATGAGAGCTGGCATCTGTAAAGTTTGTAAAGGCTTCAACTTCGTCACCTTGACATGTCTGTTGCCTTGAACATGTCGCAAGGCCAAACAATTAGACTTGGTTACGGACTTGAAAAATCACACATAACATAAAGACCTTGTTCGAAGTTTTTTGTAGTACTTCAGGTGCAAACGACTTGGTGCTTTGACTGTGACTGTGAACGGAAAGCAAGCGAACGGGTCAACCCATCCACCGAAACCGCCAAAAACACGATTCACTTTCAGCAATCAGAATCTTTGTGCATTGTCCGCGAGTCCGACATTCGTCTTGTCAACAGCAACGCAGACCGACTCATCCACAAATCTTTATTGGTGATGTTCGCCTTGACCTCTTCAACCTTTCTCGGCGTCACTACGGTGATGCTGCGACTGCACGCTTGGCACTTGAACACATTTGAGAAGAAGCTCACGCACCGCAGTCTTTTGCTTACGGGCTGTTTGACAACTCCTGCCGGCATTCAAGGCAAAGCGTGCAATGCACCGCAAGGGCGACGCTTTCTCTTCCAATCCCTTGATGGAGATCATCGGAATACACGGCGACATGTTTGTCGTTGTTTCCTTGATGTACGGTGGCTGTCGCAATTTTCGCCGTGCAGTCGCTCGATTGTTGTTTTAATGTTTTTTCCTGCACGCTCGGTGGGGTGCGAAAGAAACACCACAAGTGACCCCACAGCAAGTCAATGCACGTTCGCTAGTTCGAGCCTGTTTGGTTTTCTGCTGTGCGGTCGCGCTTGTATCTGAAACACGGGTGGCACGTGGGACGCCTAACTTACGCCTTAACCTGAATCCCACGTCCATGCCCAGCCGCGGATACTTCGCCGCTGATGGGCTTCAGCTGAGCCGGGGTTCGGATGTAAGCTTCCATAGATTTAGGCTCCGCACGGGCAACGAGGCGGAACAAAGCACGTTTGAAAAGCTTCCGTCAGCTATCAACAGGCTTGTTCTCACGGCCGACAGTCAACATGAAAACAGAAGCTTGTTGTGCTTGCCGTGCAAACGCACTTCCCTTGTCAATCCCTCTCTGCCTGCGCTTAATGTCGACACTGACTATCGGAAACATACAGCCCGTCGGCCGGCTTGGCCATCTCTGCTAAGTCTCAAACATACTCAGACGCAGCTGCCTTAACAAAAATCGAATGTAAGAAGAGACCAAAAGATTCTGTGAGCTTTGGGCTGCAAAGTCTTTGAAATGTCTGCAAAGCCGTGTAAGGAAGAGGTCACCTTGGCTTTGAGAACGCAAAAAGTCAAAAAGTGTTCTTCTGTAGCTTTGACATCATTGGATCAATGTGTCCGAAAAGTCAGGTGTTTAAGCCATGTTTCGAATGCCGTGGAGGGCTATGAACTCTATTATTTGTATCCTTCTTTTGGACATCTTTTCATTTATTATCTTGTCCAACTTTAGGGATGTGGCCTGGAGAAGCTTTCTATCTTCCAGATCCTTGTGAATTAACTTTTGCTAATACACTTCTTTCATCTAATGCTGCTATATCTTTAGGACATGCTCTTATTAATTTAGAAATTTCATCACAATATATTATTTTCTTCACTTTGTGGTCATTCTATTTATCTTCTCTTTTATTAGTTTGGCAGATTAAATAATTTCGTATTCTCGCATATTCAATTAATGATTCACTTTATAGTTGTCTTTTCTTTTTTCTTACAGCATTACATTTATTTCATCTAATTCTTGGTATTTTGCTTCTTTTTCTTATCTTCTTTTCTTGTACTGGTTTCGTTCATGTTTCGTTCTCCCCCTTTTAATATTACTACACGCGTAAACTTGCCATAATATGATAATTCAGTTCACTTCACGGGACAGGATGATAAAGGTTGTACAGCGGAAAAAAGGTCATTTCCAGTCCTATTAATATTGACCGCCTGGTGTGGACTCCAAGAACTAGAAAGCCCCACACCTATAGAACCACCCTTATTAGTACTACTTTCTAGACCTTGGAACCGCGCAGACACCCCTATTGCTTGCTGCTGCAGCAAAGTCTACTTGATGGAGCTTCACTCCATCAAGTAGACGTACTTCGTAAGTAGAATACTTAAAAACACTTACGTCTCTAGGTCAAGGAAGCGAAGCTTCCTTGACCTAGAGTTTAACATACTTAGGTCTGCTATTGGGGAAGGCAACCATCAGAAACTGTGGGGCCCTGTCAATCACTCACGACTCTAAGAATTACTACGAAGAGAATGAATGAATGAGTACACGCGTGAATTATATTACAAGTGTACGAAATGAATTCACGAACGAAGTACACGGGCTAGTAAATAAAATCGCGCGTTCTTTCAGGCCTTGCATTTTTATTTATTAAACTAGCCCGTTAATAATGTTATATTGTATGTGCTGCAAAAGACCCACTAAAACTACCGTATTTCGCTGGGTCTTTTAGCGAGCACCAGGACACAGCTTATGATTGAGGATTTTTCCAGTAGAAATCTCTTGTTTACTTCGTTCAATCGCTAATTTAATTCACGCACTACGTTCTTCGCATTCACTTCGTTTGTAATTAAAACGCTCTATCACTTCGTAGTATTTTTAAATGAGTGAATGAAATGAACACGCCCATTAAAAGTGCAAAAGGTAAGTTAACGCACGTTTTTGCGCTTATAATTTGGGCTTTTGTTCATTCACCCGGGCTAACATTACGCACGCGTGCATTCATTACATTCATTTACCGTGCGAATAAAGGCCCGGGATACATTGTAAAGAGTGTGAAGAGAGCACTAGTAATAAGGTTACAAGTGAACGAAGTTATGAGTGAGCACGTGAACTATATTATTATGCGAACGAAACCCGGGGCTAGTAATAATACTACTTAATGCCCCGGAATTATTATAATGATATTGTATTCTGCGGTCACTTCGTTCTTACATTAAGTTCATTCGTTCTAGTAAATTTAATGCACTTATAAGGAATATAAAGACGCATGAAGTGCATGAAATTACGAACGAAACATGAACGAAGCGAAAACGCCGTGCACATTATTATTTCGTGAATTCGCACGGCATTAATACCATGAAGAGAACAGTAATAATATTATTGCAATGAACACGTGAAGCGCGAATAATATTATTAATGTGAACGAAATACACGGGCTAGTAATTTTGTATATTTTCATGCGTAATCCTTATAAAATATACTAAATTATAAGCCCTTACAATATTATTATTATCGCGGCTTCACGAATAAACTTATTGCCGCGTGCACAGATAATCGAATAATAGTACGAAGTGTGTGAAAGAGCGAATATACTGAGCGAAAGAACACAACGAAGTACACACCAGAAAATAAGAAGATAATAATGTAATGTCAAGATACGACCATAAGATAGAAAGTTGTCTACAGGAAATTGACCACCTATCCAAATAAAAGAAAAAAGTGAAAGAAACCAAAAGCACAGATAAAAACCATTAAATCTACTGGGCGTCCTAATTATAAAATAGAATGACATTGAAAGATTTCTCATAAAGTAAAATAGATAGAAGTAAAAAGATAATGAATCCTGCATTTTTATTTGGTACAGCTTTTAACATAGCATATTGGCATAAGAAATACCTTTCAGGTACTATATGTAAAGGAGTAAGTATCCACATGCTTCTAGTGCATTATCTGGATGTGAGAAAGAAGAGAAGCCGAAATGAACTTGAAGAAGATATAGATGGAGAATTAATATCTTTCCATAGAAATCTTTACTAATAATGAAAGGAAAAAACGCTATTTTATTATTAGTGGAATTCCTTAAAGGATTATTAGAAAATAGAAAATGTAGATTAAAAAAAGAAGAAAAGCACAAAGAAGAAATGGAAATAGAAAATGAAAGACAAAGAACCTCTTTAATGTTGGAATGTATATATAGTGTCCTCCACAAAGCCATTCTATCAAAGATGGAAATAAAGATAATAAACTCGTAATTACTGTAACTCTCATAAACTCATTTGTCCGAAAGGTAAAACATAACCCATAAATGCTGTTCCCATTAAGAAGAAGTAATAATTCCAGAAAACCAAGTATTTGGATTATAAAAATATGAAGCATAATATAGCTCTTCCAAGATGAAGAAATACAAAAAGAAAGACAAATGATACACCATTAGAATGAAGATAACGTAAACGCCATCCATAATATATTTCTCTAATTAAAAAGAAAAGAGAAAAATATGCTGAATTAATATCTGATGTATATGTAAACCTAAGAAGATTCCTGTAATAATTTGTAAAATAGGAGTTCCTAATACAAAAACAACATTCCAAAAACAATTTATAATCAAAGGACAAGGATATGATTGTAAATGAAATTTCATTAGTCGTGGTTTTCAACCTTTGCTTGGAAGTGTCTTCGCAGAAGGGACGTGCAATGGAAAGTTTTGGAAGTCTTTGAAGGCATTTTACGTCTTTTTTTTTTAGTGGGACGTGACCTTAAAGCACACG